TCAACTTTTTTCCGCCTTTGCGATGCTGATCGGATTTACGATGAATAGTATAGGCGACTGCCAATCTAGCCTAATCTGCTTGTAGTGCTGCTAACGCCTTCGAAGCTGGTGAACCTTCGGATCTCATGGTACTGCATTAACAGTTACCTATTCACCGACCCTATATTAAGTACGTTCCAGCCGCTGAAGGTCATCCCAGTCTTGTAAGTTTTCTAAGATTGCGCTACTGCAATTGCTATGACGGTTTACATACCGCCGCAGCTAGAAAGCCTTATCTGAGCTGTACAGGATATCTGACAACACCACCCTTGAAGTTGACTTGTCAAAGAGTCGAGGTGGCCATAAACACGTCGGTCTGGAAGCAGCATGCTAGAGCCCAAGACGGGCCAACCTTTAGCTGCTGGATTATCCCGACTACTCCACGACTAAGAATTCTCGAACCGTTGCTAGACAAAATTAGTGTGACCATGAACGAGGTACCCCCAAATATGAGCTGGGAAGAAAACCACCAAGAAATCGTCATATTTATATTAACCAAACTGTTTAAGCGGATTCCTAAAAAATAGATAAATCGCAAAACTCTCATTTCTATTTATACATGGTGCTATTTAAAAGAAACGAGAAAACTGATTATCGTCATCACTGTCAATGTCGTCGTAGCCATATTCATCAAGGTCACTGTCACGAACACGGCTGTCACTGGACTCCACGTCCTCCTCGTCCGGATAGTCATTACGCCAGTTTAACTCGCTGTTGGAGTCGGAATCTTCGCCATCATAAAAAAAGCTTTCGTCAAACTCGTCAGAGTTTCCCTCATATATACCCTCTAGAGGCGGCTCATCATCTAGTTGGTCAGCAATATCCTCATCGAAATTCGTGCTGATTGCATAGAGATCATAGAGGAAGTTATCATCCTCCGCGCTCGCAGCTTTGCCCTCGTCAAGAGTGTCAGTTTCCCCTTTGGATGTACTTTCAGGAACTAGACTAAGACCGTTTAAAGTCATTGCCAAAGGATCCGATTGGGACTGGTAGGAGAGGTCAATGATGCGAAGCGATTTGGCTGGAGGAGGCTGAAACGAATTCCGTACCCTGACCTCACCATCCTCCTCGTTTTCTACTTCATCTTCGGCCTCTTCCATCTCCGCTTTTCTCTTTGATGATATAAAGTCTGTCGTTGAAACACGAATCTGATAAAGTAAGAAGAACCATATCGCTTAGATTGCATTGCGTCATTTGGAACAACTTAAATAGCAAAAAAGCCAAATAGAAGAATAAATTAGAGCAAAAGGAGTAAATCAACATATTTGTGGCTAGTACGCATAATTACAATAAAGTGCAAAAAATCGCACGCCTCTAATTTTAAGTAAACTTATAAAATGATGGATTTGGATGTCAGGTAAGCTTCAAATTCGTATGATCAGGAGCTACTGCCACGTTTACAAAGGTTCCTACTGTCAAAGATGAGCTAATATCACCACAATTTCCAAAACACGATACATTTCAATGCAATGAAAACAAAAAAAATTGACAAATTTGATTCGTCCACTCATGGATTTCCCCATTTAGGCGACTAGGGGATGAGTGGCCATTAGCTAAGGCGTTTTACCAAGGGCCGCAGCAGATTTTCTTCATTATTAAGACACTTCTCACCCTTCAAGGGAGACTCAACAATTATTGAGGGTTCAAACAGACTCCAGACTGTTCATTCATTGCCAAAGGACTTGATAATATTAGGAAATAACGCCATTATTAACAACGTTATGATAAAAGAGGCTGACATTGAAGAATGAATGATACATAACCTGATAAAGGTCAGGACGTTAAGCGCTGGAAAACGAATACATGAGGAATAAGTTGACTATACAACTAATTGACACACTGACTATTAACGGTGGTCTAGTTAATCAATAAAATTTTGACCACCCCTGCAAAACAGTAGACAGCTTGCAAAATGTAAAAACCCAGAGTTTCTTGCGTTAATAGCCAAAAGTGATCTAAATTTAAAACGGACGTAGACACAGATATCAAGTACGGTGTAAAGTAAGCTGTTATAGATCTTCTGTGAATACACACACTCAAGCAGATTTAGATTTTATGACATCATTACCACCAAAATGCTCAGTACGCCAGTATGATATTTGCCGGTGATGAAAAGTGCCTAGATGAGTTGCAAATCTAAAATTCGTTGCACTGTTCAAAACACTCACTGTACAGGAGATCTTGGTTCGGGGAGAGTCCAGGACGTGGGCAATGGAATTCTGCGATAAGATCAACTTTCGTTCTCCAGAAGCACCCATGTCCTGGAGATCATCAGCGGAGGGATGTATGGTATCAGAGAGGCTTGAAGTTGTACCGAGGTATCGGAAACAGGTAGGTGTCCTGCAATCGACGTTATCATGACGTCGTTTCTTCAGCGGGATTGCACTGAACAATTCAACTGGGGGCTCCGAATACGGCCGCTTTACTCTAAGAAAAACGGTGGGAGACTTTGCCATCTACACAGTCCCAAAAAGTGCTCAAAAAGGTTGCCAACTTCAAACGAAGACTAATAAAAGCTTTAAAAACAGACGACGCAATACGACTATTAACCAAGAAGGGGGGCTAACAGACGGCAACGATTTTGAATAGAGCGGCTTCGTCATATAATTTAGAACAAAATGTGCGTTATAAAAACTAGTTACTAAATTGAACTGTCCGTTAAAATGTTAAAAAATCTAAAAAAGAGGTGTTCAGCATGTTGCCTTACTTTTCGACTCCTAAAATCTGTTGATAAATTTTCTATTTAGCAGGTACGACCCCTGTCCATTTTATTTACAGTACTGGGTTTTAAAGTTTTAAGTTTTTTAAAGTACGTCAATTGTTTTAAGGCGATTTTTTTGTCGCCAGCTTGCTGGAATATTTAGCTGCCGTTTGCAGGGCTCAAAAGTCATGTCATTAATCGAAGGGAAATCATGGGCCACGGGGACTTAAATACGACACATTTTATCCTCCATTTCTTTTCCTTTTTGCTATTTTAACCGTTTGCGAAAAAAATTATTTTACAAGAGCATTTTTGGACAAAATTTATTTGGCGAATCCTATTTATGGGTTCGCGCATTTTAGAGTCTCCCCTGACCTAAACCTCAGCCGTTCTTCTGATGTATATTGTCTAAAAAGCACATTTACACAAAAACTAATTATTTTTTAGAAAACTTTTTGCTGTCGCTAATCTTACGAAATGGTTTACTGGAGTGTTTACTCTGCATTGATTCCGGAGGTACTTAAGCCTTTGTCAATCATACTAACATTTATTAATTGGTATTTGGGTCGCTAGTAGCCTCTGCTCATCTGCACATCAGCAATATATTCTTTGTCATACCACCATAACTCCCTACTGCTGCAGAGCAGACTTGGGCCGTAATATTCACAAACAGTATCAACACGTTTAAAACGGAACAAAACCGTTTTATGCTTAATTATTACACACCAAAAAACGTTAGTCAGATTTCGGTAATTAGATTTTTATGCAGGAAGGGTACGGTAAGAACCAATTTTGTTATTTTCTAGAGAAAAGCATACCATGCAAGTGTGTTTCTATGACCACTGCAACCTGTTTGTAATATAATTACAAAAAAGGCGTTACCTAGCCGGTCTTATCACTCCAAGGTGGAAGAGGTAAATGCAGAATACACTGAATTCTATAATATGCATGTATCGTGGATTTACTTTAGCAACCGTAGTTTTTCCGAATGACTATATGGTCACAAAAAAGAGCACAAAATCCGATCACGATATACAAAGCCAATCTCTAAGAGAATGTACAAGATCGGAGACTGAAGAGTTAGAGAAAACAAAACACTGATATACGCGGATAATCGAGGTGTTATAATAAACGAAAGTTTAATGTGACGCAAAGGCAAAGCCAGCTTATTGTGGTTTGTGCTTGAAGACTTAAATAGTCCGTGGTGATGGCATCACAATAATAAGTGGTAAAAATCATCTTCCCTGTTCGTGGCAGTAGCCATTACTTTTTAAATTACACAGCTTTTTTAGACTTGCAATAATTTTTGTATTCAATAGTAAGCTTAGAATCGACCAGCTTGAGCAATGAAGATCATTCTAATTCAGTTAGCAGTAATTTGAGCCTTAAATACGGATATAAATAGGTCTCCTTGCAGCAAGTTATTCGCGATAACAGAGGCAACAGAAGTTTTGGTAAAATTTGTTCAATAAAATAATTGCCCTACAAATTTTGCTTCGCTTGTTTATTTTTTTTGAGATGCTGTTGAAGGTCTTTTACACCATACCAAACTCTTCAAAATGTGCTACGGGATTTCGATAAGATTGTATAGACTAAAAGCACCAAAATAATAGTAGTCACCAAGACAAGGCCAATCGTGTTTATTTTTAGCGCAATTTGTTAACTTCGTTTTTCCTACCTCTATCTTTTTTGAATTTTGTTGACTTTTTATATCGTGCTAGTTTGCTAATATAATTTGCATCTAATAGTTTGTGCCACACTTATTTATGTCTTCTTTCTTTACAATGAACGAAATTTGCGATAGAAAAGTTTTGCCTACATCATTCTGAAACTTCTTGACTTGAGTGAGAAAACAAAAAAACGCATTTATGGATTTGGAGAAGAATAAGAAAAGTTTTGTTCTGGCTCGTATAGTTGGCTGACAGAATTGCAATCTTATGCACCATATTATTTGACAGAAATCGTTGCCTTTGAAGCTTGGTGCAATAATACCGAAAGCATATTTATTAAAATTACTTTTAGGAAAGACTTAGTTCAAAAACATGGTACTTATATATCATTATTTAACGACTTAAAAATCATGAGTTTAGGCTAGGTTTTTTTATTGTGATTACACGGAAGAGGTGTCTGTGCTTTAATACACTTAGTTTCTCTAGTTTTCTAAATCAAAAATCTCGGATGAATAACTGGATTTGCCTTGCAAAAATATATGCCTATAATAGCTAGATCTTTGTCTTATGTTGTTGACGACGGATCACTGCTGATAGTTGTTATTTTTTTCAAAAAATAGATTGTCTTATAGTGGAGAAAATTAGGAATCGCGTTGCCTTTGCCCAAAACCCCATCCCGAAAATCAAATCATCGCTAGGACCGCCTCCCCCTTCTTCACTGAAACACAGTGCTACCTGTGATTTTATCAACCCAGTACCAATCACTGCCTCTCTCAGGCACTCTCCTTCGGTCGAAAATATGTCAAGTAACACAAAGACACCGTACGATCTTCTTCTTGAACAGATCCAAAAGTGTCGAGATTCAGAAACTCCCGTTACACCATTGGGAGAATCAACTCAACATGAAAATCATACTAGTGTAGGCAGATACACATTACATGAGATTCTTGGGAAGGGATCATTCTCTAAGGTCCAACTAGCAACCCATCAGCTCACCAAAGGTAAGCTGCGATAAATTTTTCGATAAAATTTATTTTAACTACTCAAGCAGCCTAAGATGAAAAAGATATTATTTGTGCTGCATTTTACGTAATGTTCCTTAAAATTTATCTGCTTAACCAATTAACATTAGGATTTATTACACTTGCGACAAAAGACCAAATTAAAAGCCATTTTTTCGCTAACTCGCCTAATAAGATGCACTTGGATTGCGACAGTTTTTCAAAAAGTCCCTTTGGAAACCTACACTTAGTCTTGCCGATCGCCGTTTCTATCTTACCCTTATTTTTTAACTGTCTAACACTAATACCAGAGTCAAAAGCGCGAAACTTATCACTCAGAAAAATAGAATGGAAATGCGAAAGACATGAGCGACGGTAAGGATGAGGATAAGACATTGTGTCCGTTCCCGTTTCTCCCTCCATCCCATCTCAAATGATGTGCGGGACGAAGCCTCCTCATGGGTAAGCTTTGTAGTGGAATGAGGTATAATGTATAAAGTCATTTTCCTCCAACAGGCAAACTAATCCAAAACGTTACCATTAAATCGTCTTTGTTTACTTTATGGTGTATCGTTTTGCACCAAGAAAAGTAGAGTACACTTGTGATTGTATGGTTTGCATCGAGAAATTGGTGGTGAGCAACTGCGCCCGAAGTTTACCCCCGTGTGCCCACACATACGGTCAAAGCGGATTGTTTTTTAAGGCGGAAGCAATGTCTCAAAAATGTGGAATGGCTTGTAAGTTCTCTGTTGGCTTAACGCTGAAATGCAAATGTCCTTCCGCATCACGAGACATTTAGTAAACACTCGGAAAACGATACAATTGTATAGGCTGAAAAACAGTAAGCACACATTTATGATCCTTAAAGTTAGGTTACGCACTTTTTTGGATGTGCAGTTTTCTTGCTTAAATCTCAGCAAGATTGACTTAGATGGAAGGTGTCTATTTTTAAGAGATTTATTATCGGAATCAAGGTCCTATGCAATTTTCGGGTAGTTGTATCTACCACAGCATTTGCTTGTCATGAAATGCAGCACATTTTACAGCCTTAGGAAGTGAATTTAACATGCATCTTGTGGGGAACAGGCTAAATGCGCAATAAATTCAGTTGAGATGCAAGAATGTGAGCGATTTAATTGACAGGAAAGTACTAACAATGACATTAGTAATGCTACTCTCCCGGTTGCCGTAAGATTAAAATAAGATTTGTGCAAAAAACTACTTCCCAAATTGCGTCAACTTTTGGCCAAGGGACGATGACTCTGTAAAATTTTTGGTTTCATATGTAAAAGCTTGGAAATTGAGCTTTTTTTTCACTGTTCGAACACTAAAATCACAAATGGGCTGGCTCTTGCCTGAAGCACGGGAGATCTGTGGATAACATCTAAATTGCACATTTAGCTTAATTTGGGTTTTTTCCAAAAGGCCAAAAGTTTTTACGATTGGGATGGTGCAATCATTTTCCTTCCTACCAAAAGTCAACGCATGAAACCCCTTTTTTACACAACGCTATTTGGTTTTTGCATCGACATGCTAGTGCAATCCGAATCGTCCCGTTTTTTTATGACTCCGCCATGCAACACAAATTAGGACCTAGTATTGGGCAAACTGTATACTTTGATAAAAGCTAAAATCGCCTTTCATACGTTAAACTAGTGAGTAGAACATGTATTCTGCAACCCTGTTTGCTTCTTAGGCACACAATTTGAAAGAGACGATCGTAACCCCGCATTGAACTTTACTTTGCACCAACTTCCTCCGAAATTTGAGGGGCAAATTGGCATTCGTATCATCCATAATCATAATTCCCTTCCCTTTAAACTATAAATTTAAAATGCTGCTCTGTTCAGACATTGAGAGGGGACATATTCGCCAGCTGTCAAGGCGGGCGGGGGACGGGGCAGCTTGGCACATGAACCACCAGACTTCGTTGATACCAATTTAAAAAACAGGACATTCTTTGCTTTTAAGCTAAAAATGCAATATCTGTGGAAAATCGCTCAACTAATCGTCGTCATTTTGGCTGACCGAATAAAAGTGGGTCTGATTGACTGTGCAAATCATGACCGAGTAAGGGTTTGTTTGACAACCATTCCTCCTCGGTTCAGCGATGGAGGAGGTTTTCTTGACCTTCACTGCCTTAGAATAAAAAAAACAGGTAAACCCACTACTAAAAAGTAATAAATGTCACAAGGTGCTTTTACACGGGAATTTAATTTGAGTTATATGAAATTTCTTTTGCATCTAAATTTTGACGGAAAGCCAACATTATATTGTGTGAGTACAAGACTCGGCGTTGAAAAGAGCAGGTACCCATCTTACCCTCGACAGATTACCTGGGTTGAGGAAAGTAAAGTTGAAATAAAGACGTTCGTCCTGGTGATATTGGGGCATTGTTGTCTTTATTACTGCTAATAACATTAGGGAGGATAAGAAAACGAGTTTAATTGCCATCCCGGCGCCGTATCTTGGGCGTCTACCTAGGCATAAATGTAGATTAGACTCCATACAGCTTAAACTCGGTAAAAGGCTCTGGTCTTCATCCATACTGCATGATAGAACTGGCATAGTGAGCCACAAAATGAGACGATTTTACCACCTTATATTGTGTTTATGAGATTCCAAATAAATACTGAATCGAACCTTTAAGCTCATTTATCAAGTTCACTATCCAATCTACTGGAAACCATTTCTAGCTATATAAAAATGATGCCATTTGCTTTTAGTTGGGCCCATAACTAGAGACAAGTAACGATTCAGGCTAAAAAGCGCTTCATTCCTTAAAAGTTGGGCATTTCCTAGACTAAAATTCATGCAAGGCGACTGGAATTCCTCATACGCAACTATTGCTTTTCCCTGTTTGTCTGCTTTTTCCATTAACAATGTGTTTATTCGCTTTTTTAAGAACTGCCAAACCATTGTTTGGATTGCATGCAAGTTGTTATTTAGAAGATTTTAGTTTTGCCACTAAATGTAGCCAGAAAGTCTGGCACATCGCATTAACTTTACCGCAGGAAACTGACACCCTGAGTGCTTCACTAATTGGCTATACCCACCGGTCGATGGAAAACGTCCGTTAGATTTTTTCACCCCAGAAATTTTTAAAAACTAAAATAACAAATATTTTCTTTAAATGTTTTGAAAGTCATCTTTAGTTGTACAGTGTGGAAGCTTTTGCGTGTAAAAGACGAGCTGTGTTTTAGAAGGAAATAAAGTGTTGAAATATGACAGTTTTTTAAAAGAAGTCAATCCTTAGGACAAAGGAGGTCAGTATTACTATCCTCTTACCCCTTTTAAACGTCATCCCTGGTGCTCGCCTTGGCCAACCTCCCGCGTCGTACATCTCGACGTAGTCGGTGCTGTAAGGAACTGAGACGATAGTTGACCCCAGAGCCACTGGTCTCTCTTGCAAATTCCATTGGATGTTGTGTTTCGTCCTTTATAAAAACTGGGTTGGAGGAATGAAAACTGTGCTGATCAACACTAATTCCTATCGCTAATCGGGAACGCGCTGACCTCAAAAGAGTCATTGAGTAAGGGGCGGTGTTTACCATAGTTTTGTGGGAATAAGGCTAGGTGTCCGTTTCTCCTTGCCAATTTGTTCTCACTTTCTCTCTCCCCAGCTATATCTCTCTGAGCTCCATCTAGCTAGTTTAGAGGTGGAGAGAGCTTTCGCATGTTTTCTTAAATGACGCCTTTGTATGAGTACTGCAGACAGCTCCGTAAGGAATTTTTTTGAATGAATTACGGTCATGGATAGTGTTGCTCCACTTGGCATTGGCTTTCCTGCAAAACAGGCGACTGGAGTAGCAGTAATGTAGCGACTCCAGACATCCCTAGGGGCGAAAGAGGACATAATACTAGGGCAGAATATGTATTGCCGACGGACAGAAGGGTGGGAGGCTACTGGCGTGGTCCTGAGGTCAGACCGTCCAGAAGAGGTACAATAGCGGAGTGCTAAGTAGCCTCCTTACCGAGACTTAATTAACCAATCAAAATATTGCAGGTTGTTGCATTTACCTTGCAAAAAAATACATTTTTGCTTTAATCCTATTCCCTATTTAAAAGTATAATCTAAAAAGAATGCACTTTCTCCCCCACTTCTTAGACATTTCTTTTGCCTACAAACACAATAGCTCAAGTGTAGGGGGCATATATCTTGATTAAGAGCACCAATCAAAACTGATTTCAGAATCTGTAAAACAATGGCAGGTATTGTAACCTCTGCGAAGATAGCACTACCTTGATTTAGGTGCCAGCTGACACCAGTACTTTTTGATTGAATGGCATTTGGCCTAAATGATTTGACTTTCCGAAATAGCCATCACCCATCAGGAAACGACCTTGTACACGGATGCCTGTCATCCTTGTGCCTAAATTGCCGTGGTCATGGCATTAGAATGGTTGCCCAACTGTGTCAAAACCTGCCATACTTTTGGATGGGTGGAAAGAATTGGGGCAAAAAACTTCTGCTGGGCGTTGGGGGCTTAACAGTTGTGCTGCTTAATGCTCTTTTTTGTGTCATGTGCTATTGCAGCAATATGTAAGGAATGGGATGTATTGTATGTGTTATAAATATTATTTTATGGGTAATGCAACTAATGCTGCAAGGAGAGCGAATTGCTAAGAATACAGTAAAAGAGGTAAAAGATCAAGACTACTGTAGGGATAGGACGCTTTTTAGCATTTACTGGGAAGCACTTTCTTGTAGACAAGCTAGGAATTCGATTTGCAAAAGGGACCCAGTGGTTTTTCAATACCTAACAGTTGCCATGACTTTTACAGTGACAGGGACTTGGGAATGGCATTATTAATGGCCACTACAAAGCATGGTCATGCAATAGTACATCAGAAAAGTCCACTTCATTATGGAGGTTACCACTTTCCCATGCCATTAACCATCGAGCAAATTAAGGACTCATTACCCATTCCGTATTTCTAAAAGACTGAATTTGGCTTGTGTGTGGGTGTATATGGTATGTGAACTACAAAATCAATTGTTCGCTATGCATTTCTTACTGGATAACAAACGATCGCGACTAAGATCCATCAACATAACTCAATCCATGCCAAATGTGTAAAAGAAAGACTTATTTCTCAATAACAACAGAAGCTGATTACTCTCGAGAAAGAAAGTGGGATTCGTACAAGATCAAGTAAGGCCCCATACTATACCCTTGATAGAGAAGCAAAATTGAACTGAGAGGAGAACCCAGGCTGCAATTCATTTGGCATGGCAAAAAGTGAGATGGAAAGGGGGGGAGGAGAAAGAAAGAACGATAGACACTGTCTCATCTTCATCCTCATTCGCCGCATTTCCCTTAGATGCTTCCGAGTGGTGATAATCGCCTTCTCTTAGCATTGTTATCCGACAGCAGAGACGTAATGAAACAGACAAATCGAAGGGAGAATTGCGATAGGATGGTGCTTGATTTGGTTTTTAGCTGCCAAATTATGTAGAAGTCAGGTTTGTGCAGCATTTGAGGCAAATGGTGAATTCTGCTTTAAGTTTTGGTTTACAAAGCCTACATGGTTACCTAACGGACCTTATCTAGCCTGAGTCTACCCTCAAAAATCGAACGTCCTTGGTGATTCGAACCATAAAAAAGCCACATTTCAACCGAGGTCATTCGATTCCCGAGTAACAGCTAGCTTGAACAGATAAAAAGAGAATATCAATTTACTGCTAAAAATGTGTAAAACAAAAGCCAACATCCGTAAGAACAGTTAAAAGGAAGGCGAGAAAAACTCCCTCCTGCTAATGCTTCTTTTAGAAAAGGTCGCTGTGAAGATAATTGACAAAACCAAAACTGACGCTGCAGCCCGACGCCTTATATTCCGAGAGATGTCAGTGCTTGACAAACTTCATCACCCTAACATCATTCGGCTCTACGAGGCAAGTTATCCATTAAATCCATGAATTAAAAGATAGAGTTGCTGGTGGACTAAAACTGACAGTTACGACTTATTCCGTGGTTTAAAACCACCCCAAGCCAAATACGAAAGTCACACGTGGGTCTGCCATCATGGATAGGAAATGCTTGGTTCTAAAATCAGTAGGACACCACGTCGCATCAGCTGGATCGACAGATCTGCATCCTTTCTAATCTGTATTGTAGAAATCACGAACTTAGCGTTGCCTAGCCTTAGATCTGGGGTCCTAATAATTGGTACGAGCATAAAAATGTATCAAAGTCACATTGGTATCATTACCAGTTTCATACCGGTGTTAACGAATCGTTAAGGGTTGCCGTCCGTTCAGTTTCTAGGAGCACTTAATCATAGACCACGACTGATTTAATTGTCCTGATGTTGCGGATCTTGGCAGACTCAACCATCCACAGAGCATGCCATTCCTCGTGATAGTTAAGTTTCACTGAGCAGCCACCATCTTGAGGAGTTTCGGATTTGGTTCAACTGCCACAAATGTCATGTGTAGAGGCTAAAGGGTGGTCAAGCCCATGGTGATGCAAGGAAACACTAGCCATTGATTTCAAAGAACTGAAAATACGTTTCATTATTTGATCGAGGTGATTGAAAGTTTAACCCAATTAAACATCGTCATGGAATACGCCGCGGGAGGAGATCTGGAAACAAGGATTCAAAAGAAGGGTGCTTTTACAGACTCCGAGGGCAAAATCATCTTCGCTCAATTGGTCGCCGCCATTAAGCACATGGTAAAGCGAGATGGGAATGTCAATTTGTGTGATTAAACAATTTATCATGAAACTGACAAGAGGCTTGATAATACTCCAGCATGACAACAACATAGTTCATCGCGACATCAAGGCGGAGAATGTCTTCTTCGCAGTGCGTTCACCCATAGTGGATCCCGAAATGGGGGAAACCAACAATGTGAGTGATGCGGAAGTGCCTGAGGCCAGCACTGCTGGGGGTCCTGGGTCCGGAGGCCGTAACGACGTGCACAAAGCGGACCACAAGGCTCGTGCAACGCACTCAAGAATGAATTCTGAAGATAGCAGCACAAGTAATGTTGATCATTTCTTCCTTCCTTAACTTTGTCAGTAGAAAATTTTCATCTAATGGCTGACAAGCAATAAGCAGCATCTGATGAGACATTTGCATCCTAGACAGAAATACTATAAGGGAAGCCTTAAGCAAACCCATCTTTAAACTCAATCAAACACATCATGGCTTGCGATAATGCATCTCAAAAGAAGCTAAATACAAATTTTTTAACCCTAACAGGACAGGCGTACAACCAATCACTTGCTTATTCACCAGACCTCTACCGGGTCAAAATTGGTGACTTCGGATTCAGTAAGACAATCACCACCGCAGACCAACACCTCATCACATTTTGCGGTTCACCACCCTATGCAGCTCCGGAGCTCTTCAATTCTTCATCGTAAGAGAATCTTGAATAGTCTGCACTAGTAGACAGTAAATTGAGGTTGGAACATGTAGCACCACACTAAGATGCTTACCTGAAAGGAAAATATCCAAATCTCAAGTAATTTTAGTCCTGGGGGGCTTTAGTACCGTGGCTGACCTTCTACATTAGACGTCGTCATATCGTTGATGTTCTAGAGATTACGTCTAAGCCATTTTCTATTAAGATGGGAAGAAATTTGACGCTAAGGTCAGTAACTCATGCTCCCGATTATGATGGATATAGAAGTATGTCCTCTTTTTGAATCGTGCCATTCCTAATAAGCCTGTGCTCCAAAACTTGTTCATCTTACACACCAGTCTTCATTCAAGTGAACCTAAAACCAAACTCGTAGCATAATAGAGTGTAGAGACAAAAAGGAAAGGCGTTTTCTGGTTTCATTCATTAGCTACTAGCGCTGCTACCACTGTGATTTGATTTGGTCAGGTACTTGGGCCCTCCAGTGGACATGTGGGCTATGGGAGTGCTGCTCTACTACATGTTGATGGGTTTCCTGCCCTTCCGAGGCAGAACGGTAGGACAACTACGCAAACTCATCCTCGAAGCCAGCTCCAGCGGCACATTTCCTGTACCCCCGAGGGTGTCTGAGGGGGCCGCGGAGTTGATACGAAGGCTACTATCACGCAATCCAAAAAGTCGACCACGTGCAGCGAAGTTGATCGAGGAGGCTAAAAAGGCTTCATCAACAACTCGGCCCCTGTCCATGGATCGGTTGGTTGCTGTCAGTACCTCCTCGTCTTGGCGTAAACGTGAACCCTGGCTGGCCCATCAAGTCTTTCCCACTCCCTATCCCACAGTCAGTGCTGCGGATTCTGTTGGAGTGAGTTTGTAGAACATTTTGCCAGGCGTTTTCAGTCCTGACGACCTTGGTAGGCATGTTTTTGTAAAGAATATTTAATTATAAATGTACAGAAGTGCTGAGAGGCTGAAAATAAGAAAATAAATGTGCTAAAATATTAATTAAACTACATTTTTGACCATTTACTTCCCCTAAGCTTTTTTCAGATACCCCGAGAGGGAATTAAACTTTGTTAAAAAAAAATACATTTGCCTCACATGTCTATGCATTATAATATATTTTCATGTACACTTAGGGTCTGGGAGGCTACTTACTGCTAGCGGAAGCTGGTAAAAAAGCCTCCCAAATAATCTTATCAACTGCGGGGAGGCCGGAAAGACCATTAGTTCATAAAGCGCGTACAGAGACCAGTCCTCAACCTGGACCGACACCACGAATCTCCATAACACTCGCAGACTCGAGCACTGACGTGCCAGTGAACAGCACTAGCTCGGAGCCGGAGCTTTCGACGAATGCGAGTGCTTTCGAGGAGGCTATCGTGCAGTCAGAGATGGAAGCGGCCAAATTGCTGCTTCAGCTGGGGATCTCATCCGATCGTCTCCGCGTGCCGCACAACAATGATGCCAGAAATTCCATCAGTGGGGCCTATCGAATCATGCTACATCAGTTGCAAAGGTGCGTCAACAGGCATTAAAGCGAATGTCCTTTCATTATTCTATCCACAATCGGAGACTTAAATAAGATTAATTAAAATTTGGTAATTTTAATGCCATAAACTGCAGATCAAGGTCATTTATCTTCTATAGTCAAGTTAGTAAACTTTTTAGGTATCGAAGGCTCAGCAATTTACCGTCTGTCCAAGACACGAACAATAACAACGATGATAATGAGCAAAAAGTGTCCACAGAAACTTCATCGATGGAAGAGGTCATTCCAGCCGCCTGCAAGGGGAAGTCACGGATGAAGAAGTCCGCTTCAGACATTCCTGGTTCCTCATGTAATCGAAAGAGCACAGACAAGTCCTGCTCCCTTTTGTAACACTGTGATGCAGACCAGCTTTCAGATCATTCTTTCATTGTGTAAATTAACCTCCCTTTGACTGGATGGTTCATGAAATGCAGATGAGACACAGGAATACGTGTCCATTTGAATGTATTTTTCAAGTGGAAGACCAGTCAGTTGACGTTGATCTCTTAACGCAGCAAATGCCCCCAACCCTGAAAAGGAAACGAACTGCGATCCCCTTTAGACTATGATATTCTGTACAACCCTATGTCACTGATCAAATAAAGACGTCAATCTCCACATGCTCTTCTCACGCCGGCGGACCTTGTCACTTTCACCACCGACATGGACTGTGCATAGTGTCTTAAAGTCGCCAGAAGTAGCTTCCATTTTACTCCATAACTGCAGAGATTACCACAGATTTTACGCGCTTTCCCAGACACCGAGTGAGGAAGAACAGTCGTGAACGAAACATGAAAGAAGATATTGAAGAGTACGCGAAGAACCTACGATGATTGCCAGAATAAGCTACCAGCGGCTCACCTTCAACCAGGATCGAGGGGTAGATAACCGCCCAATTTAAACGTGGGTTTCATCTACACATTAAGGTTGAGAAACTTAGCGTCAACGGTAATGCCGGACCAAACCCGACGCCTTTTATCTAGGCTATTCGCGTTACGCTTCAATGCTAGTCTAGTCCCCTGCTTCTATCCTCCTTGCTTCGAGATGGCTCCCGTTCATTCTAGCAAACTCTAGGCAAAGCAGAAGACCGTTTATGCAATCCACCCTTTTAATCTGGTGCATCCAGGCTAATAGAAAATCTCAACTTTCCTGTCTCCCTACTGAAAGGTTAGGATTGTTTCATCGTCTCTCAAACTGCAACCAGTAAGAAGAAAGGATGTGGCAGTAAAAGGGATGACTTCGTTATGTATATTTAGACTGACAGTGCAATCTGGACAGTAAAATTCCCTGTATGCCTTGCTATGATTTAGAATGTAATTCTTGTGGCCGAACTTTTAAGTAAAACTAAAGCCGTTCCAATCCTTGTGGATTTCACCTTCTCCACCTACCAAGACAGCAAAGCCACGACAGCCCTTTCATCACCGAAAATTTGTCGATGCTATTTGCAATGTCCTATTTGAAGCTGCAACAGCATCCAGAACCCATCTAGACCACCTCCACGTGCGGCTTACCCATGTCACTAACAGCAAGGGAAAAGAGCGTTAAAAGTTAATAGTTAAATACGCAAATTTGTTCTCATGGTAAGGTGTTAAGCTTGGAAGAACAAGCGTCGTGAAACCTATTAAGGCACCGGCGAGGCTGGACTGATTTAGCAGTTGTTAGAAGGACAAACTGTCTTGTCAAAGAGAAGCTCAGAGACGTGGTCAAGGAGACAGTGGAATCACTATGAGCCTCACCAACGGCTCTGGTAAAACAGGACAAAAACCTCTGTCTGCGCGTCGGCTAGAGAAAACTGAATCTGGTAACAACGAGGGATGTCTTCCGACTAACTTACGTGATTTAAATTTCGGGATACTGGTAGGTAGAAACAGCAAGAAGCAATCATTCAATATATTCTGAACCATGTAAGGAAGTGGTTACTTCCCAACACCTTATACCAGCCGCACTAATCGGAATGTTCCCTAAGCACTGTACGGTATACCTAGATGATAATCTTGGAGTTGGTTGGGATACTTGGGAGCATGACGCCGATTTTGAGAATAGTGTTGGCCAGTCTATGAGACGCAGGTTAGACCTTAAACCCAAAGAAATGCTGATTTCTGCGATTCTTGGATAGCTTTTTGGGATATATTGCCTCTTCATACGGAATGGCAGTTACCCAAGGCCGTTTAAAACATGTGAAAACAGGGCCACTACCAACCAGTTAGAAAAAATTTCGTAGATTCCTAGGGATAGCAGGTTACCATGGGCAGATCATTTTAAATTTCTTTAAAATCACAAGCTTCGCTGCATGAAATAAGGAAAAAGTCGACGAATAAGACTCTTAAGGGGGAGAAAGAGGAAGATGAAGAGTTCAAAGTGCTAAAGTGGATGCTTTTATGTGCAGCAATTCTGGCGTTACTCAACTTCGAATCAGGCACTCCACTGTTCGCATAGACCTGACACTAGTGATGCAGCAGTAGGCAAAGTACTTTCATACGAGGTCAAAGAGGATATAAAAGGACGTCATCGCCCACAGGAGTACAAAATCTTACTACCAAAAATGATACAGAATTGAAACTCATTGTGGTCACATTTAAAGTGTCGCATGTGCAATCATTATCTGCCAGAGGATAAACATCGGAAATTGCTGTTAATCTCCTGTGCCTTTTATCCTCACATTCTCCAGTTTGACTCCAACGCATTAGGAAATTTATTGCCTAGGCGTGGAGTTTAAAGGACCACTGGATCAGGTTCTACTGGTATAGTGTGAGTAGAGCGCCAGCCTTTTCCACCTTGTGGAAGGCGTGGCAGCAGGTATTAGGCGGTGTCGCCTTTACTCAAAGTTTAAATTATGAGCGATGGAATTTAAGCACAATAGGGAAGATGCCACAGCTAAATTTGTTAAGAAATTCGACTGGTAGGTATGGTCTCACAAAATAAATGAAAATGTCAAAGACTTGGAAAGGGATGTAGTACCACATTTATTTACCATTGTATGCATTTCTACAGTTTTGTGACAGCGGACGATGCGAAGCATTGTTGAAAACGTGAGAAGAACATTTAATTTAGGCGGCAAAAGAGTCGGGTAGCAGGGCAGGCAGTAATCATCTCAGACACGTCAAGGCTTTGTTTAAGCGAAGTTGCCCAACTCCTGGGTCGAAGCGCTCCCCTTGATTGACACGTACACCTATACTGCTCCGTACTATTCAAACTCCACTTCTCTACATGCCCAATATTTGTAAGTGGCGTACGATAAAGAGTAGGAAGTTAAAAGACATCATCTCTGCATTCATGTTGTCTCGAAATAACTCTGCGTAGATTACCAACCACGTTCACTTGCCATCCCTTATGCCGCACACCCTACTCCTACTCAGATTACTACTACTGAAAGGAAGCGAGTAGCATAAGCAAAGAAGTATAAATACCCGAAAAATAGAGTTGCGTTAAATAGTATGCTTTTGAAAAGCATAATTTCCAAGAGAACGTGAAGCGGGAACCTTAAGTTGACGAAACCCAAAGTGACAAAAAGTCTGCCAGGTGTTCAAAGCGGATAAAACGACGATCGCAGACCCTTGAAATCAGCAATAGGATCGTGGGATGGATGCTTCCTGAAGGATTTAGCAAAAGTCCTCGTCTTCCTAACGCCTTTTCCTTAAAGCTAGCCTAATACTTTACGTTTGTCCCTTTTAACTTCATTACGGCTAAAAATAATGACAAAATCACGTGTGGCTATGACACCGTAGACCATTAGTTGATGACGGCTAGAGCTAATGCCATTCCATCTGGTAGGTATTTTGACTTTCGGATAACAGTAATTAAAAGATTTATTTTTGGAATACATTTTAAATAAACGAAGTAAATGAATAAAAGGGCCAAGGTTAAAAGCAGCTCGATTCGACTTCCCTCTAGAGTATATTTTCATGGACACTGGTTGCTTCTTTCCAGATCTTTCGAATTTGGAGGCGAGCTGCTGCGAGCCTGCTGAAAATTGGTACACTTTTTTCCACCAAATTGAACTAGACAACCACAATGATTGTCAGCACACTGCAAGGCCACAACTACATCATTAAAGGATTGAAGTGACATCACTTGTGGCAGAGGTGTGTGTCAAACAGGTGGGAAAATTAATCGCAATGGGGGAAACGCTGTGTCAATATTGGTGTTCCTAAAGCTATAAAATAATCGAGTTGCCAGCTCAAATCCTCTAAAATGGCTACTCAAAGAACGAGGTGTACACACACAGAGGGAGATATGAGAGAGGACAAGATAGCCTGTCAAAAACCGGTAAAAAAACAGTATTCTGCAGTGACTTTATTCCCGCCATTTGCATCTTAAAAGAACATTTAATTGGCACAGAATCCACAAGAGTACATTCTCACATTGTCCCTTTAGTTTAATCTTCCTTAAGTTTGCCCACAGGGTGAAGAAAGCCTTTCAGACCTCAGAGTTAGGCAACCCTTATATGTCCTTTAGTTTTCAGATTTTCACTATTAGCCGGAATGAAAAGCCGTACAAGCGGGTTGGAAACTTTGGCTCTGCTACATGCAAACATTGTATTTGGACGTGGAAGCACAGCATATATGCATGAAAAGCAGTTTATGACACCCACATGTGAAATTGTTGACGTTGAATCGGTAAGAGTAATGAAGGTGTGCTTGTAAAACCATGTGCATACGTCAGTTTGGGGCTGGAACTCCTTCGCAATCCCACAATCCTGCCTCCTCAGGAAATGGGTTTTTCTTCCACTTTCACGATGCATTGTTTAAACACCCTGACATCCGATTAGCGAATTCACCTTCAGAACTGCAGGCGAGTATCAAATTGAGCAGAAAATCTGCAAAATAGGATGTCAACTGTGGCAATTACTTGGTTTTACACTTGAGAATGGCAGAAATGTGGCACCAGTTTGTGAGACTTGCAAATAGGGATAGGAATAATATCAGTCTAACGGCACTTGTGTGAAACCTAAGCGATACACATTAAAAGCCCTATAAATTCTGTGAGCACCAAAAATGAGCAACAACAAGGTGCTAAATAGCATGAGGGGAAGATGGCAAAATATTTGCGCTTTGCATTTCAGCAGTTTGTCATAAAATGCAAATTTAAGGATTGTATTCCTCGTAAAATATGATCTGGAGATTCTCTACTAGCCCTCCGACCAGGCATGTACATCCATCTGTGTTCAAGTGTTCGCGTCGGTCAATAAAGATATTGTAGCGTCCCGGGACTCCCTGAAAACGAAAGAAGACACAATACTCGGGCAGAATATACATATTCAGCACGGAGAAGGTGTCTGGGCTATTGGCATGGTCCAAAAGGCCAGCCCCACCCAGCGGGGTACAAGGGGGCTAATTCGAAGTACAAAAGTGGCGCCTCGCCAGAACCGAGGGATAAACCACTATCGTATTACAGTATTGCCCCTGAAGACTTTGTCTATCACTTATCCGGTTAATGGCCTAAATGGAAACCCGACAACTCGCAAACAGGGAAGATCAAGGCTATACTAATTTGGTGATACAGTTTATAGTGTAGTGGTGGATAGGGCTAAATTTTTATAGTGTGTTGAATATAAATTTCCTTATGGAGAATATGGGAACGTAAGCATAGCCAAACCAAGTCTTTCCTGGAGTCGTAATAAATCATACCAACTAGAAGTTGGACTATTAGTACTCAAAAGAGCTAAGTGGCATAGTATTAGGTGGAATTACAGCATACGGAAATTGAATATAAGCATAAGCAACTTTTTCATAAAAAGACACAAAAATATGTGATGCTACCACGGGTGAAGCCAGAAAAGACCCTCTAACTATATCAAAGAAAATTACAAATGCGTGGTATGTATCCACTTATGTGAGGTTCCTACATGATGAAGAAAAACCCTATTTTATTAAGTTAAGTGTGGTATGCATTACAGTCTGGGTTATTTTCTGTCAAATGTATGCCAACAGTAGCAGATTTGGCTGTTATTTTTCAGAACAGTATGGCTTGTGCTTCCTCTTTCGTATTTGTGTTAGCATAAGTGACATGGCGTAAATTTAATCTATAGGCAGTTAATGAAACAAATTTAAACAAATAAATTTGACATTTTTAAAGACAGATTCATGTAAGAGGCTTTTATCGTTTGCCTGATATCAAGATATGTACATAAACGTGCCATTTGTTATAATGTATAGAGTTTCATCCTTAAGCCGTGACCACATTACTTTTGATTCGATTGTCTTGTCATGTGTCGGATGTTGGTTTCAGTCGGTCTGGGGGCTGTGGCGTAAGTATACATTAGTTTCCTAAACACGTCCTCCAGTTTTTATGCTGGGTACAAGGCGTTTAAACATGTGCTGGATGTAAGTATTCCTAATCTAATTGTCTTTAGCAAGAAGCATTCCCTGAAAACACGTTTTTTGAAAATGACCTTACAGAGAGTGACCCCTCAAAATGGATGGCTGACCCAATTACACCTATTACAACTCTTCTTGTATTGCATTTTTTTTGCATTCTAGTATATATTTTAGCAATCAGGTGGTATTCGTTCGAAGATGGAAATACTTTGCATGGATCTGCAAGTGAGCCTTACTAAACTCACTAGATCTCGCCTTAATGCATTTGCCTATCTCCTTTGTTGCAAAGCTTTTTGGGTGCAGTTATCAGCTGTCGTCAGCGTGTGCATTTGCTAGAATTCAGTGCAGAATTTTGTGAGGTGGACTGGAGGCTTTGAAAGCAAAGCTCTTTATTAAGTACTTTCATTTTTTCAGTCTCATTTATGTCGATGCATGGGAGCTATTGATGGCAAGGCACGCTTTACCGTCGACCGTTGGATACGTGGAAATGTACATTACGTTGCATTTTAGCAGCTGATGTAGTCTACATTTCCGTTTTCAATGAATGTTGATGCTTTCAGGACGAAGGTGGTGGCATCTCTTGCGTACTTCAAGAGGGAGGTGTCTTTGAAAAAGCCGCCATCAATATCAGTGTGATGACTAGTAGTCTCTCCGACTCAGCTCTCAAGCAAATGAAAGAAAGGTTTGTGTAGTTCCGGGTTAAAATCGCCCAATTACTTAACACCACCTCGTTTCTAGCATTAAATTGTTTTAAATGTGCACTCTGTGCCGATTCGCACCAAGTGGTACTTTTAATAGATATGACAGCCATTAAAAGTGTAATATTGTCCATCCTCACGCCTTCCGAACGAAGGAAATCCAGTTGGCATTAAGTCTTCATAAATGTCTATTTTTACGGGTTGGATCGCCAAACCTCTAAGTGGGTTTATTATACATCTCCCAGTCAACAGTCCCTGTTTTTTGGTTTAGGTTGAAAGAACTGGAGAACGGACGCTCGTATAAGTTTAGCGTAGTGGGGATCAGTTCGGTTAATCACCCGGTACGTCATCTTTTCCTCCTACTTGAACACTTTTTCTTGCAGTCCATAATCTGCCACTTCATTTCCGCCTTTAGCGAAATCCTCACGCACCAACGATGCACTTTAACTACCGTTACTTTGAAGTAATCGACGTGGAGACGGGTCAAAGCATATGGTGGTTTGGTGGGGGCTGTGATCTAACCCCCTCCTTCCTCTACGAGGAGGATGTCAAACACTTTCATGGACTCCAAAAGGCTGCTTGTGATGCTCACAGTCCTTCCTATTACCACGACTTCAAGAAGTGGTGTGATGAGTACTTTTTCATCAAACACAGAGGTTATTTGCTTTTGAGGAGGCCACGATATGTCGTTGCCTCCTACTCCTATATAATGGCATTGGTTTGGATTCTTCATCGACACGTTTGTAGGAACTAAGTAGACTAACTTATCAAAACACACTGCATGTATTGCGAATGTGCTTTCGGTATCTACACTAACGTTAGCTTCAATGCAATCACCTACAAATGGTTTTGCTTGTTTCAGTATTTTGACTGCCTTATTTTAGGCGTTGTACTATATTTATTTCAGCTATATTGTGATTATTTACTTAGGCAATTCCAACGCATATTGCAATTAATAGCTCACTACTCGTGGGACATGTAATAGATGCTAAGAATTTCGCACGAATAATTGCTCCCTTGGTCTCGTTAGTAATGCTTGCCTATCAGCTTCAGGGCCTGTACTCTTCTGCTATTCTGAATTGGTTTGGATATTCATTGTGTATATTTTATTCATTACTTTTCTGCCATAATTTATCCATAGGGTACTGAAATAAGGTTTTTAGATGACTGAAAAAACATATTTGTTGTGTAGGACCCCGATCAGATTTATACGTTGCAGATAAATGTCTTTCTTGAACACAATGCTTGTTACCATCTGACAGTTATCCAGAAACGAGCGCTTTGCTCTGCTGGAGAAAACGGTAAAACTTTTGGCAGCGATCGCTAACCTATCTTGTTTTCTCATTTATAGGTGAAGCACGGGGCGTCGGTGGCATCTTTTTTGATGATCTGGATGGCCCCTCGCAAGATGAGGTCTTTTTGTTTGTTCGGGTATGCTGTCTCCTCCTTTCATTTTTATCCTTTTCCATTAAACTAGCCTCGTTTTCACCTTAGGACTGTGCTGCTGCTGTGGCACCATCTTACTTGCCAATTATCATGAAACGGCTAAAGACATCCTATAACGATGAGGAGAGGTATGCCGACATTCCCATTCCTGTCATTGCATGTGAATTTCTGACTCGGTAGATAAAAATAAAGCTGTTACCCCAGCGGCTTAGTTCGGCTGTGCATAGTAAACATGTTTCGCTTGCCCGGGTTGGGTTATTGCTACCTCTCTGTGTCGTGCAGTGTGGTCAACTGACGCAGTTTTGTTACACCCGCAGACAGTGGCAGCTGCTACGCCGTGGCCGCTATGTGGAGTTCAATCTAATCTATGATAGAGGTACCAAGTTCGGTCTCTTCACACCAAATGCTAGAATTGAAAGCATCTTTGTTTCGATGCCTTTATACGCAGTGAGTAACCGATTTTGAATACCTCTGATTTCATCTCCAGCTGTTACTGCTTACATGATTGATATGGTCACGACTAATCTCAAAGTACTTGATTGCTCACATCAAGACTTTTCCGTAATTTATTTATTTAGATTCACCCTTACAGTTTGCATAAATCTAACTGTAATGGAGATTTTCTGTTTTGTTAACGTTTTTTCGTGCAGTCACTTTTCTTTATTAACCTAACGAATAAGTCTGTTCTAAGCTTCTAGCATTATACAAAAGTGGTTTCACTATTCTCGCCCACAGGTTTCAAGGCACTGATACTATATAGCATCTCTAAGCTTAAACCTCCACATATTTGACCTTCTTAGGGTTACTTTTGATAGGGTAAATTGAAGCGACTGGTTAAATGAGATCCACAATAAACATTAGACACGTTTCATTCGGTTCAACCACTTAATAATTTGCCTCAGTTTTTTTGCCTACCCTGTGAACTATGAGTCAGGTTTTCTTTTGCTACATTTGTTAGTCTTAGTAAATCTGGTCGTCAAAATACCATCATTGTGAAAATAAGCCTTAAAGATTGTCGTACTGGATAAGAGTATCAGTCCCAATTCAGTGTTTTTATTGTTTACATCGCCCAGATACCACTAATATCATATTTGTCACCCAAAATAGAGAATTGTTTTGAATTAATCTTAGCAGAGGGCTTCGAAGGGTTAATTTTATCCTTTTTGTTAAAAGTTAAATCTGAAGATTTTTTGCTTTATTCAGTTAAACATTTTAGTACATGGACCAAATGCTCAGGATCCCATAGCACAGCTACAACTAGGCCCTAAAAATTTGGTCCTTAAGCATTTTCCAAGTTGTCATTTTATGTTATCGACTAAAAACTGTTGGGGTGATTTTTTAATGCATTTTTTTTTCTTTTTGAGCATTTCGACGAAATACTATTCATTGCGTCAAGGGGATTTTGTGAAGTTTTAAAACGCTGCTTGATCTAATGGGTTTCAACTCATGCACTAAATTTTGCTTTAAATTTTTTTCCAGAAATGGGTTTACTGTCACGATCCCTCAGAAGACAAAAGACATTTGGAATTGTTGGACGTTTTGACTAAACCGCGAGACTGGGCCTAGCGCAACTAACATTTGTCGGTAATGTTCCCATTGGTCCTGTTAACACAACTTGAACCTCACTGAATAGCAATTTGCAAACCTGCATTTAGTTCTAATACAGGCTCTGTGCTATGTTCTTTTGCTTCTCTTTTGGTTTACATGTTGGGTTGCCATTCGTTTGGTTAACCACTGGTTTCAGACGTTGGTTGATATTGGTCATTGATCTCCCTCCGTATATGAGGGCTGGCTGTTCCGTTTTAATTCTTTTATTTTCCAGCAGATCCTTGGGCAACTCTTGGGTGAAGGCGATTCTACACGTCGAACACCTGTGGTCTTTGACATTAATAAGGGGTTTGCTCACTTCAAGGTCATTTCAATATTTTATAAGGATAAGCTGAATTCTGGGTCCATGCGTGATAGATGTCGCTTTGTGATATAGGGGAATTTTACTTTTAGTGTGTTTAAAACAGGGTTGAGAGTGCCTTGACAGCATCTCCATGATCCCTATGGTACCTCAGATGCGATCAAACTCTTCGTCGCGTAGATATAACTATACCCAGCTAATTTCACTTTTCCAATGCATTAATTGCTTAAATTGGGAGCTTCGTATCGATTCTGTCTCACCGTAAAAATGAAATTTTTGGAGAGATGCTAACAAAGTATTCCGAAAGATGGACCCCGGACTAAATTCATCCTCGTTCCACGCCTTGAAACCGAAATCGGGACGCGTCTGTACTGCAATTTTCCAGGTTTTTATGCTTCCATTCAAGATTGTATCCTCCAATGCCAGACATTTCGGTCTGCGCTGCATTTGTGGTTCGGCAATGAAACTTACATTTGTGCTTACTGAAAGTATGCAATCATTTTTGGGTTAAAAGTTCTTTCAAATGTTGAATCCACCTTGAGGGCTAATTACTGGTTGTGTTTATGTGTGCTTGTGGATATACTAATCACCAAATTTTAATTCGAGTACATGTTATTCTCACTCGGCCACGTGGGTCCCCTCAAAAGATGAACCAAAGCCTGCCGCTGATGCCTTTTGGGTCAGTTGCCCTACCTGCAGTGAAGGTGACGTGAATAAGCAAACCCAAGTGTGTCAGTATTTGGATCTGCGTTAATAATACTCCTTTTCTAGTGATTGAGAGCCACCAATTTGAACATTTGCTAATTTCAATTTTCGTATGAATAACATCGTACCTGGTACTTAAGAATAAGTTTGAGGTTAATACGAAATGGTGGCTGACTGGGTTCACCTAATCTTAGGTCGTAACTTCTGAGCCACCATCTGAAAGTATGAATCTCTCCACGTCTTTCAGGTAACTAAAAACTTATGCGGGCACCAAGACTCCTCGTAGTCATGGTATTCCTGCTCCATGTGATTTATATCTTACTTTGGGCCATTTTTATCTTGAACGTCGTCCTCGGTGCTTCCCTTGATCACTCTCTCACGTCAGTTATCGCAACGTAATCGATGGTTTAACAACACCCACAGGTCATCCAGCCCAGAAGATACTTGATCACAGCGTCACTGGTCTTTCTCGGCAATTCAACTAAATTTGGAGTTCTGTCCTATTTGGAAACTGTATTTAGCTAATGGGAAATGTGCTGGTTATCACGCGTGACCATAGCCGTGGGAACACTGGCCTAAAAGCAGCTTTATATAAGGAAGGCCGGAATTTGCCAAAGTTCTGTGGGGATAAGGTTCTGCGTCTATTCCTCCTTGTCCCTTTTTCATCACTTCATTGCTACTCAGACATGTCAAATCTGTCTATTTTCCATGTAGCTAGCAGAGAGGTCCTTACATAAGTCTGTTTAATATATATATCAGCATACTAAATACTGGCTAACAACTCCTTAGAGTGAGTCTACGATTAAGTGGTTTTGCCTATCCTTCCCAGATGGTTCAGTAATACTGCTTCACAATTTTATATTGTGACAGCCAACATCGGAAGGTCAAGTTTAACACTATTTATTTTGTAACATTTGCTTGTTGGAGTCATTTTAATTCCATCCTGGTTTCAACATTTCACCGATATTTCGTGGTATATTCCTCAGGAGACATTCAACTAGAGTACGCTCAGACATTTTACTCTATTTTCCTCCAAGAGATGTCAAGACGTCATCTAGAATCCGCTCTTTTGGCAAGTGCATTAGTTGAAAACGGTTTGGCGTCGGTTTTTCGATTTACCAGGATCCGATTTCAACGCACTTTATATCCTCCCGAATACCAACCTATTCCAGAACTGGGTTCAAACAATACCCCTGATAACCCCGTGTGCTCTCATTGTGGCGCAATCTGCTCAACTGCAGGTGACTGTAAAAACGTGCCCAAAAGCAAGCCAAAGTGCTACGAATCTCCCATTGTTGAAGAGGATGATTTTGGCGTACATACACTTAGGTTTAATGCTGACGGACGTCAACTAATTGCCGGATCCGCAAACACGAGCGTTCGTGTAGGTTAACACAATTTTCTCAAAATATCCAATTGTCTTACTTAAAGTGAATGAGTAGCACCTACTTTTTGTTCAAGGTTATCAATGTGATAGACGGCCAACAGCAGTTGCTGTTGCGGCCCTCGACATGGAAGTTGGGTATGCCGATTACTTGTCTGCGCTACGTACCAACCGACCTTCAATGGGTGCTAGGTTGCACCCCACAGGGGGACATATTCTGTCTCGATTCCAACCAGGAGGGTTTTGAAACTCTAATTACGGAGGAAAACCAAGAAACATATTGTTTGGATATTTCACCCGATGGAATGGAACTGGCCACTGCTGGCAAAGATACCGCAATTCGTCTCTATAGCCTCCATGTCGGCCAACAAACCGGCTTTGAAACCCAGTCTGCTGATTTTGTAACATTCGATGAGCACCGGCCGAAACCTAGGAAAAGTAAGGCTTTACTGCGTCCTTTATGCCCATGAAAACATCGACAAGATAGTTTATGAAAGTAAATCTATCACTGGACATAAACTTAGACAATACACTGAATTTGAAATTGATGTGGAAGTTCGTAATTTTTATGTAATGAAGTGTGTACAGTGGATTTTTTGCGGAGTTTGAACAGTTCGACATTGGAATTTCAATGCATCCTTCCATGTGTTTCAGTGTCCAGTGAATGTGAGCGATTCGCTAATCCGCTACAAAACGACTTGGAGGCACGATTAAGACATTGCAAGCGCTTTGCCGGGGGAAAGGGTGAACAAGTGATCGATCATTACATAAAGCCCTTCATCGTGCCGATTAGCTACGGGAGAGATTCCGAACAGAATGCCTGTTCTGACAAAGCGAACAGCGGCACCGCTGAGCCACAGATACTTGGCTACCACCCTACTGGTCCGGCAGACAACTATACAGAGGGCCACTCGATGCGAATAGCCGCGCTAAGGTATCATCCCACTCAGCCCAGACTTCTCGCCTCAGCTAGTTGGGATCACCATGTAAAGGTGGGTTAGAAATGTAAGATTTTTAGTCGTAGATTGGTCTCTAGGTGCAGGTCATTTTATATTCACGGCATTTGGTCGGCCGAGTTGCTTTTAAGTTGAAGATTGGCCTGCTATCCTTACGCAACCTTAACTCTAACTTGGCTTCGTGTAGATGCAAAAGATCATGACCGTGGAAATCATTAATATTTGTGCATAAGGAGTTCTAGATTGTCAACGTCCTACATATCCTAAGTTGCATCACTCTTAAAGAGATTATCGAAATTGATCACACGTTTTTACCTTCGTATCATACTTGCAATGCAGTTCAGTCACCGAGACGAGTTTTCCAGCGGAACCTGTTTTGCTGTTTGATGATACGTAATCTGAGACAGCTGAAATAGTAGGGTCATTAAATTTTGATTTTGATCCATGCAAATTTTGATACCTACCTTTTATCACCAAAACTAATTTCAGCTTGTTAATGCCATCAACTCTTGTATCTACCCAGATCTCACTATCACCATTTGGAATTGATCGTAAACCTGAATTCTAGTTTTTTGGTAAAATTCGCCAAAAGACTTTTTTTGTCGATATTTCGCGCAGTTTGTGTTGCTGCAAATGATTCCACAACGGAACTTATGCTTGTAAATTGCAAGGGCGACGCGAATGTGGGGTTTTTGCTCCCATATTGGTGTAGGAGACTTATTACTGATGCACAGGAGGGATAAGAGGATATGCCCAGACACCATGTTGTTCGGCGGATGTGCAACCTGCGGATATTGAAAAGCTCATGAAGCTTAATTCTCAGTTGAGCAAAGTATTAAATCCCTAAAGTCAGTCTTAGATGATTGAATGCAGTACATAATTAGCCACGTCTGCTTGCAGATCACTTTGAAGGTCCTTTTGGCACGATTGATAGGTCAACGAAACGGTAATTTTCCATCATCATAAGACTGACTGAAGAGGCTGCTGCAGCTGACTTTGATTAATAATTGATTAGGTTTGATTGATGTCAATGGAAACAATGGAGTTCTTTTCATTGAACCTTTTACCAGTTTAAAAACTGCACGCCTATTTTACCTTTCACATCTGTATTTGTAAAGTAAATGTATTGTCTTCGAGAATTCTTGTTGTAATTTCTCAAATTCGATATGCTGCTCATAATAAGATCCCATATTTGGTTACCTAACCAATAGTGCATTTGATTACCCCTCATATATCTCCAAAGCACCTATCTTAGCAAAATTAAAGATTAATCGAGTATAAACGAAGCTCATCTTTATTATCATCCGGATGCGCATTAACAGTAATTCTAACCTTTCTACTTTCTGCATTTAAGTAAATAAATTCAAAAATGAATTAAAATGCCATATCTCCTATACAAAGCAGCCCGAATATGAAAATTCACTTGATTTTAGCCTAAAAGGCCTTCTGCTACGCAATGCGGTAGAGCTGGAGTCCTATTGTTTGCAGATCTACTAGCAGTTTTATTCAAGACCACTGCCAGGGCCAGTAACTACGCAATTAGTATGTTATTACGCAGGTTTGGGACACGAGAACTCGAGAAGGACCAGTTCATGATATCTACGGACCACTTGTTTGCAGTCCCGAGGGCCTTGATATTGAAGAAGACCATATTCTCACCGCCTCGTGGCGCAAACGCCAAGCTCTCGAGGTAAAATTGATTACCATCCTTCTATTTAAATTTGTCGTTTTCGTGCCCTTACTTTATTTTTGTAGGACATCATAAGACTAAGATGTTTACCCTGTGTTTGGGGTATTAAACCGCCTCATTTTTATCCTATTTTACATACGTGCTACTCCGCCATTGATTATGGAGTAATTTTTCGTTGCAGCTTAAAATAATTTACTTGTTCCCTCTATTGTGTGCTTCTGAAGCTTTGGTTTTTCATGCCTGATGCTTTAGCTCTTGGTCATTTTTCGTGCAAACATTTCGGTTTACTTTGAACTACTAGCTTAGGAAGTCCAGCAAGAGCCAGGATATTCTGTATGGCCGTAAACTTTTTGTATTCTTTGCAAAAAGTAACCTGCTTCGGTTCCATTTAAGACGTAAACGTCAAAGCCATTGACTAGTGTAACGAAGCTGAGGAGCCGGATGTACCGGTACTAATACACGACACGCTTATGTAAACTACAATGCCTCCAAATTATTGAAAACCCGTTATAAGTTTTACCGTTCAGGGTTTCTAGGCTAAGTGTTTTACAGTGACTTAAAAAAGGATTTTCTTCACATTTAGTCAGTTGAAAGAATTGATTCACGAATTAATAGTTCAAAAAACTAAAAGAGTATATATGAAGTATTTTTGTTTGATTTAAATAAAGCTTGTTAATTAAAACATCTAATTGTGGCTGGTTATATACGTGAGCAATTTTATTTCTAGGAATTTAAAATTACAGTATGAATTTTGCAATTACAGTGTTTTAGGATTCATATAACTAGGTCCCACTCCGAACGAAAACAAATGCGTTTGAGATCATGGAGTATAAGACAAAAGATGTTACCTGTTCTTGACTAATCGTATCCTTAATGCGAAACCGAGTAAGGGAGTTGTCATTCCTGTAAACACCAGAAGGCTGAAAGCTACCAGCTTCTACGACTAAACTCTGCTTGTAATATTGTAATGGTCTACAAAGCTTCCGTCTAATTTCGGAGACGGTTTTGTTACTTTTCTCTCACAAAGTTCTTCCTCAGTTAACACGATTAAATTGCATGATCCTTGAACGATTCACAACACATCAACTTTGGGGCGTACATTTTTTTTGTCATTTTTCTAACGTTAATATTTAGGACATTTCAAAGAAGACCTATTGCAAGACTAGTTTTTTATTTGGTGTTATTGTTGCTAATTTGAGCTCTTTTTAAAGTTACGATAAGACTACATGATATGAAACTTTCTCATGAGAACACACAAGTCGTAGCATGTGTGGTTTGTGAATTGTGTTGTCGGATAACGCCGAATCTCAATCCGACTGCGGGTCTATATAGTCTACTGATTAAACTACAAAAATCCAGTCGTTTTCCCAATTGCTTGTTTTGGCCGATTTACCTAATGCTCCAATTTAGAACTTTGGGCATTCCAATGACTCAGCGCTCAACACGAAAATTGGCTATTTGGTAGGAAATAAATTATGTATATCTGCATAGAAACTTCGATCTTAGTGGTGCGTAATGGAAATTGTGATTGAAATACTTGCATTCATACATGTAATACTTGTGAGTATCGTATCCTTCTTCTCTGAAATCCTGATTCACTTTCTAAAAGTCTCAAAGAGGGCATCCAACCATTTATGATGCCCGCAAGCTTAGTTCTTGAAGAGAATCTTTTAAATCTCCATAGATTCGAAGAAAAAATGGTCCTGTTATGAGGATAAAACAACTTCTTTTAAAGTCAGCTCAATGCGTTTTTACTGGGTGAAGAATTACAAAGTAGTTTGAATGACCGCGCTTATCTTCTAATTTACAGTTTTTGCAAATTGCTCAATCTCATTTCTTAGTATTATTTATCGGCTCCAGGGAATAGGCGTTCAGCAGTGCATACTTAAAAACCCATTTATTTCCCTCCTTGGCTTTCACATAGCAGACTCTAAATCTCATATTCAGTTGAGCACAGAAAATTCAGAACAGGAAGTGAGTTTTAAAAATTATGGACGATAAGTGTACGCATATTCTATGCGCAACTGTCTAAATTACGAGTCATAGTTCAGTTGGAGTAGTCGTCATCGCACAAACAAACTCCTAAGATATTGTCAAGTTGAGGCGTTTGTGCTACTACGTGTAAAATCTTGCGATTTCAAAATGTTGGTGTTACCAGCCTTAACGCACGACAAGGGTAGAGAGTGGAATCGAATGGCAAAATAATCCAGCTAGAAAACATCATTTTTTTGTCTTTTGTGGTTCAAATGATACGGTCATCATACAAAGGCAAGCAAAATAGTTCTATCCACGTGAGTAAGTCAGCCTTACAGGATAGGAGTAGTAACAGCATCGGGGACGATGCGAATGTCAATAACGCAGGCAATGATAATTTGACTAGAGTGAGTAATGAAATTGCACAAAACACTAAAACTAATAAATACCTGCTTTCATAACCCTATTCTCAAAGTCTGTTAGCATATAATTGGTCTTAGACGAGTAAAACAACTTGTTTCCATTCTCTCAAACTAAAAAAAACCATGACCAGTTGCGTGGCCTAGCCCTCAACATGAAATAATAACTGAAACACGCAGGCGTCAAATTTAAGCCCATGGAATCTCAGAAAAGTCTCGAATCTTATTTCGCCATATCACTTATTTTTTTTGCTAGGTAGTGTTTGAGGAGTCTTTTCAAGTACTGCAAAGTGCTTATCTAATGTCACTTTGTCCAATTGCAGTTCGGAACCTTTACTAGGTACTGCTTTCTACAATGTACTTTTTAATCTTGAGGCTCTTCCTACGAAGATACTTACCAGACCTTGTTGTCTTGATTGTGCAGCCATAAATCCCATAAGTTCGTTTGTTTTTGCTTCTATAAAATGGTGCATATACTAAGAGATCGCTGCAATAGCCTCGATGTTTCCTTTTTCCACCTCTCTCCATGCTATTGCAACAAGTAGACGAGTTGCCTGAGGACATGCTTAATTGAGTTGCTATAACTAAAGGGGTACAAAGACGTTACGATTTAAGCGTGTTTAAGGTACGCTCTCTCATCAGGATGGGGGCGATGACGTCCAATCTGTCATACGGTTTGTATTTCTTGGCTTCCTCTTGCTTGAAACGTCTATTTAAACAAGTACATATTCCACAGCTCCCTCGTCTTTTTGACCACCGCCCCCGGTGCTGTCCTAATGAGTGGTCTCTGTAAATACCATTTCTGATGGTCTTATTTCTTCCGTCATTACGCAAACTTCATTTTCGTATTCTACCGGAGGTTTCCGTTGTGCAGGATTAGCACTGCCTGGGATTTGGTGTGTGTAATATTGGCAGATTTTTGGTTGCATATCGCAATGTATTACCTTCTGCTACCTTAGTTCAAGGCATTATTTTTAAATTCTAGATGTACCCATTTCGTCACGTTAGGTGTATAGATGATGTGAGTGTCCGGACGCATAAAATGGGTAGGAAACATTAATTGTAATTATGTTGTTTGTATGCAGATTTGGGACTTGCGTAATCTGCACTCGATCGAGGCGCCTGCAAAAGTCAGTAATTTGGCCAGTGGTGACGTGGAGAATACGCTCTGGAAACAGGCATACATGCGCCCCGCGGAGTGCATTGACGTGGCAGAGACGGTGAAGGGACAAAGCAGAGACGGTGGCGGTGGTGAATACCTCTATGCCGCGCGTCTTCTACCCAGTCGTGCCATCGTCTGTGGAGGCTCCGGATTCAATGAAGTGCGCGTGGTTCATCGTGATACAAAGTTGGTGAGTCCGTTCATTAAATTACAAGGACAAGGAGGATCTACATTTATCACATTTATGCTTCAGTAGGGCTAATGTGTGGTTGCCATAGCAACAACGGCAGCGACTTCTAAGGATAGCGACTATTATCCACCTAAGCAATGGCATTCATTTCATCGCACCCGCACATTAACTGCTCTCGTTACCAGAAAAATGGTTCCATTAACTTCCTTAAGTAACAAGTTTAGTGCACTTCTGTTTGTTTCCCTAGTTGCCTTGATAATAAAAGATCCGCCCCATTTACAAGGCGGTAATGCGGAGCCAAAGAACATACGCTACGCCCAAAATTACTGAAAAGGAGTAAAATGTTACGAAAGGGATTAGTAGTCTCGGCGACGATTGCTCGTGCATAGTTTGAGATATCCTCATCTCCACCATTGTTGCTTTCAACTCATCCTCAATCTAATCTTCTGCTTTTGTACTATGGTCCGCTTTAAGAATTTTAAGTTCTTGTACCAGAGGAGAACTTTTACACTATTGAAACAGCGCGTAGGGGGTTCGCTGACCACTATGCTCACATCCTTGGACTCTTATTGCACAGATTTTCCTTAAAACACGTTCTTATTTTCCTTTTAGCCCATTATTCGTATTCCGACAGACTCTGTGGTTCAAACTATCGATAGTGTGCTGGAGGGTCGTTTCATCGCTATCGGTTGCGCCAGCGGTTCTATAACCATCGCCGGTTTGGCTTGAAGGTCTTTCAAAGCTCACCATTTAGACCCTCCAAAACTCTTATAGTTTACTCACTCGTCTACTGATGGTACTGCTACTAATAACAATGCTGCCTGAAGACTCGACTCAATCTCGGAAGTAGGTAGTCTCGGGCAAGGAGGTAGATTTCTAACTTAAAAGAGAAGATTAATTTTTGTGGTGAATCTACTTTTGTTTGAAGTTATGCTTATTTGGATTAGGTTTTAAATTCCATAAGAATCTCTAACTCGTTTTTAAATGAAAATAGTAACATGAGCTTTAAAAATTGCCCTGATAAACCGTCTTACGACAGTTGTAATATTCTTCTGTATAAAAGATTAATTTTGTAGAACTATGGCTTTTGAAATTGCGGTGACTTATTTTCGGCACGAAATACCAGTTAATTTGGGCAGATCATCCTAGTGTAAACGTCGGATGATTTGTAGTGTCTCGAATCTTTCAGGAGGGTTGGAAGGCTACTGCCACGGCCTGGAGACGATGCCACCCAGAGAAAGTACAACGGCAGAGCCTTAGGTGACCGCGAAACCAAAATGAAGAGTTAAGCAAACAATTAAAAAAATGCCTTACCCCTCTCTTCTCTTGCGCTCCTCTTAATCCACCGCCCGCTTCGGTCATCGCAACGTCGTCGGTGGTTTAAACGCAAAAGCACCTACGAAACATTTGCACTAGTCATCAAATTTTCGTGCGACTGTGAAGATATTCAAGCTCAACGTCACTGACCCGACCTGGCATTTCTACTGGATTTTGAGTTTCGTCCTGTTCAAGAACTGTATTGGGGAAGGAAGGAATGTGCTAGCCATCTCGTATGCACATCGATAGTCGTGGAGCCACTGACTTAAAAGCAGAGCCATAGAACAAAGGTCGATGTTTAAAATATTTTTAGGGGGATAGCGATTCGCGCCCATTCCACTTTGCCACTTTGTTCTCGCTTCAGTGCTGCCCTGCCATATCAAATCCATTTGCGGTTAATCTAGCCTGTAGTGGGATGGAGGAGGTATCGCGTGTTTGCCTCATTGATACCCTCATACAGGCACAGTACCGTAACGAACTTTTCCAGACGTCTCAGCCATGGTGAGGGTGGCTCCAGTTGTTTAATGGCATTCCTACAGATCACGGGACTAAAGTGGGTGCCAAAGGTGGGAGTCATTAGCAGCCCATCTATTGGGAGTCGTCACGGGTTCTCCCATCCGTAGCATACGCAATTCTTCCTTCAATCAGTTGAAATCAGGATAGATGTTCTTTAAGATCGGATTCACTTGGCATTGCCAGCCACCAAAGCAACGCCTCGAGTCTTTCAGGTGGGCTAAGAGGCTACTGGCACGGCTAGGAGGAGGCCATGTCGCCGAGTTGAGGTACGATGGCGGAGCCTTTATTGCCCCCTTGACAAAGCACAAAGGGGTCATCGATAAAACTAATGTTCCCCGCAAAATTGCTTTTAAATTTAACAGGCTTCTGCAGTAGTAAATAAGATATCAAATAAAAAATGTCAAAAGTGGATTCAATAGCGATTGCCAAACTGCATTTTCTGTTTGTTTGGCTTCAATTTTCGACGGCAACACATTGACTGACGCCTAATTTTGAAGTAAAAGTAAAGTTGTACTTCCATTGGCCAACTTTCTACCCTTCTACGACGGGTGATGTTTAAAAAATTTCATATTCTACCTCTGATGAAAAGAGTCGTCATTAGCATTTGTTTATCCTCAAACCTTAAGAAGTATGCCAGCAAGAGCGAATGGATTTGGGTGAGTTTTTAAATGAAATTTCTTTGTTTGAAACGACGATGCTACAATGGCGGATTATTATAACTCCTATCGGAAATTAGGTTCCACGACTTCCTTTCATATTGCAACTTGTTCTGCTGTTGAAAAACAATAGAATGCCAGTCGAACTAAGACCTAACACATAAGTTCACATTTAACAAGTATTTTTTAGATATTGAGAATAGTGTTTACTGCTTAGCTCCCATTCGTAAAACCCTTTTTCGCCTCTAGGTCTGCTACCTTGACACCAGAGGAGACCTTCAATATTATTCCACTGCAATTACCTTGTATGGTGATTTTTGTGTCTTGAGATTTAATTAGGAATCCAAAAGTGCCTAAGACACCTCATCCGAATAAGAATTTGACTAAAACTTGGCGTCGGATCCACCTGCTTGCCTATGAACCACAACTTAAGCGTCTTCTCACTGATTGGTGCACTGCATTCCCTTGCTCGTCCAATCCACAGCAAGTCCTCGTTGTCATGGGGAGGTGTAGTGAAGCATTCATTCAATCGCGTTTTCTCCCCACTTTCAAATGGAGACCAGAGAGCCCACAACCTCAGGCGCCTTCGAGCAATCGAGTCTGTTTCAGTCGGAGTCGGTGGCTCTCTTCCTAGTCGTGGGCTATTTTATCCTAATGAGTAGTATAGGTGTGCTCTCCTGGTGCCGGACGCGCAAACGGGTGCGAGATTTTATGGAACAGCGGCGCATGAGGCGGCCCCAGCGGTTCGAGCATGATAACCAGGTGTTGAAAATCAGGTATTGCGGCAGCAACAGCTGTGAGTCGCCCGGATGAAAGGCCTTTGCCACTCATTGTCTGTTTGACGCACACATATTTGGTTAATTCTTGTCAGTGAAATATAACAATGGTAGTAGTTAGCATTTGTTCTCCCGTAAAGCAAGTTATGGGAGAAAATTAAACATTGTTAGAATTGTTTTGCACATTTATTTTGCAAAAATATTAGACGCGTTAATTATCTCCCGACTTTCCACCTTTTAAGTCTTAAAAATGAAAGAGTAAAAGTAAGTTAGTAAATACTTTTGGTACTGGGACACTGCGCTACCTTACCAACTTCATCAGTAGGCCTAACATAAAGTTCATATGTCTTGCTTTTTTTCAATTCGTAGTTATTTTGGGAGTAGTTAATTCATGCATATTTTTCTCATTTTGTCACTAAGGCTCAGTTTAAAATACATTTAAAATCAGCACAATTTTTAAGTAGATATTATCGTGTATGTGACCAAGGGTACTCCTTGCAAACTGCTTCCGACAAATTTTAACGGAAAATTTTCGTTCTCAAGGTTATAATATGCTCATTACTTATTTCTGTAAAGTTTCCTGAAATTGTAAAGTAAAGGGGAGCTCTAATTCCTTAAATTGTTTACAATTTCGCCTTTAGAATTGTAACTTCGCTATGCGGTAGAATTCGCAAATCCTTATCTTGAACGATTCTTCATCATTATTTGAATTCTACGGTCTCTACAAACATATCACTTCATGGATTGGGCAAAAGGCTGTTAACATTCTGCTTCGATTTGCCCAAAATATAAAAGAATAATAAATTATAGCATAGGTGGCTTGCAAAAAGATGGTGTCTTTTTACCCAAGAACTACTCTCCGAAGAACACGTTGGTAAACCAACCACTTTTTTTTGCTACGTGGCCTAACAGCTATTCATTATCAGACAATTAATAGTACATAAATCAAACTTTAATGGCCAGGTAGTGAAACGTCCACTGCTCTCCTGTGTATTTGTCAAACCATACTGGCATTCTAGGCAATGCAACTTCTCCCACGCTGAAGGCGACGCCAAATTAAGGTAACTGAAGCAGATCATTTGTTTCTGAAATCGACCGGACAGTTGAGGTAGTCAAAATTTGAAGATCGAGAATTCATGAAAAACTGGCTTGTTTATTATACCAGATTATAAAGTAACTTTTTTTTCATTTTAATTCTGTGTGGTTTAATTCATCATTTAATGCAAAATGTCGGTGGATATGAAGGCTGATTCAAACACCTCCTTTGAAATTCAACATAAGACGTTCGAACATTAGTAAATACTTCTTGATAAAAATGGATGGTCAGAGTTGATTAAATCTTGCAGAGGTGGTGCCATTTGATACGAGTTATTTGCTACTTTAATGACGGATCTCTGAATACCTCCGAAATTTCTCCCACGCTCTTCCCGTGAGGCAAATATGTCAATTCCTTGGTGCACCTTGTTTCGAGGCTGGAATTAGAAGCATACCTGATAAGAATGGCGCGTTTAAGACTCCATTTACATTTCTAAATTGGAGCTTTAAATGCGACAGTCCCGGCCAATTGGTACCATTAGAGCTGAAGCAAGGCCAAATAACTTGGACTGACAGTAACGTTGACGAAGGGCGTCGCCTGCGCGCCTTAAGTCGTTTTCAGCACAGGAAATGTCGCTCGACTTGCGATGCGTCCCACGAGCAAGCCCAACAGTTCGCTTAGGCCCTCCTGTTGAATTTGATCGAGTCTTCAACCGGACGCCAAATATTGACCGCCCATCCAGAGGCCATTATGCGGTGGTTGTAGTGGTGGCTACCAAATGTGAGCAGATGATCCGTGTAAGCCATTAGGCAAACAAAGTTGTGTATCACCATTTTATTTCTTGTAAAAAAGAGGAGACGAGTATCGAAAGATAGATACAAAAGCATCATTCACGGTTCCTCCTCGTTCAGTATCGTGCTGGCATTCAATCCTCCACTCCCATCTACTAATCCGCTCCCTTCATCAGAAGTGAGAACTGAGTTGAGCAAATTGGCAAGCATCCCACCGCCTACACTCTTCAAACTGCTCACATTGTCAAACAAGGCAGCGAGGGGGTCACTATTAGACTTCGCGGCTGGAGGACTTTCAGTGGGAGACGGGAGGAACGGATTTTGCCCACTGAGTGACGCAAAGTAGACCTTGGCGTTATTCGCCATTGCCCGGTAGCGTTCTAGCTCCAAATACCGCGGTGTCAAGCGCAGCGCATCGGCCTCTGCCTGTCTTGAGGCTCGGTAGAACTCGGCATCTGCATCTGCACGTGCCCTTGACGCTCGAATGCCATCCTCGATGGCAGCGATTGCTTGCTCGTTCTCCTTCGCCGACAATCGCATGCGCCACTCAATGGCTGCCACCTCTGCGGCCTGTTCCGCTTCTGAATTTTGAAGCATACACTCTGCTTAGAAGATGCTAATTTTACTTTCGTTAAATTGCATACAAATTATCTAATCACATACGTGAATTCCTGTGCATTTTACAGAAAATTGCGGACAAATATCCTTAAATGATATCCTAGAATCAGTCAATTTAATCTATAGCCCTCAAAGTCTACCAAAACAGGTACAAGAAAGTAGCATATGTCGTTCGATGGAAATTAAACCGGAAGTCAAGTTTGTCCATGTAAACAAACGATAATATCGACAGGATGACAACGTGGCAGATGCGGGTCTTAGAGAGCGGCTAAATCATACACAAATTGCAAATTTTGAGATGCCAATAAGATTCACTACACAGATTTTTCGCCAATCCCGTGGCTTGTGAGTCAAGTTTTCCTTTACTATCTCCGTTATTGTTTTTAGTAAATGTACCTAATTGTCAAGACATCTTCATTTTGAAAATAGGCCTTGGAGATTGTCACATTGTACGAGGTCGTCGGTACTCATTAAACTGATAAGCAACTGGTTCAAGGGGTTAATAAAATAACCAAGACCCCATTGCGACGCATTAAGACTATGCAACAAATATTAAGCATGGAAGGACTCCTTTACAAATAGTTAACACAGAACCGGCCAAAATGAGAGAGCGATGCAAGTGGTGCCTCTAGGCGGATAAACTCAAGTTAAGTGTAATCTCACTGAGGACAAACGACACCACTTGAAGGACTCTTGGAAGGTAATTACTGCAGGTTTTCGACAAAGGAGTTAAGCTAGGAAAAACGACAGTCAAAGGCGCACGTCGACTAGTTTGAAGATGATAAAACAATAAAACTGAAGACAACGCGGTCCTGCCGGAGATCTCCATTCTGCAAAGCCAAACACACAGATGCGCTACAATGAACACCGCTGATGCAGTCCATCGTCAAGAGAGTACAAATGGACAGGCGATTCCGTTGTGGAGCCAAGGCAGTGGGACTACTGACGGCACAACAAATAGGGAAAGTAGGCTTTCTCTTCTGACTGCCAACTTTGTTTTGCAAATGAGTCAGCTACTTGGGAGCCCCGCACTGTCACAATGGATAGGTATAAGCCAATCCAGGTTATGGTGCAAGCGAACATAATTTAAAACCTGTGCCTCTTGGAGTCAGCAGATATTGAACTAGTTAATTGTTTCAGCAATGCTAAACGAAATGGACGTTTTTTGTATGCATTAAACTAGCACTGAGAAACAAGGTTTGGCATTCAACGCCCTCACGACATAGACCATTTGTTACCTATAATGCACTAGGATAAACGTTTCACGACCATGGCAATTGTTCGGCGAAAGGTTAAGTAGAACTAGAGCTCCAAATGCAGTCTGACGAAAAGATACTGTTGGAGTTGGTTTGGTCGTCCATCACTAGCATCCTCTACTCTGACTTCACAAGAACTTGTCAATCGATAACAGTGAACGAATGTCAACCGGAAGTAACCAGACGGCAAGTCAAAAGAGGATACATCAAAGCAGTCTATTTTGGTCATTTGAGGAAAGACAAAACGAGCCTTAAGAAACAACCCTCACTCAAGTAATAGAAACATGAATTGGAAGCTGCCCGTCATTTAACAAGCTCAGCAGACTACCTTGTACCGCAACTCTCAAGCAGTGAAAAAAATCTGACACGTAGTTAAAATCGTTTTCTGCCATTTTCGCACCGCCCGTTCGTCCCTCGAACGTTTTCGCCATGGGTCAGGTCAAAAAAATTCGTGAAACGATAAAAGATGCCATCAATAAATTAAAGGCAATAGTTCGTAAAAAGAAACAGAGAATTTCATGTTCTATAATCGGAAAAGCCATGCTGCAAAATGTAAGCAAGGATAACTGAAAATTGTGAAAGAAGGGAAATTTTGGGGGTAAATCAAGCGCTTAAATGTTAAAGAAAGGCAAGTGATGATGATTAAAACCGCACTAAGCTCAGCATTCCTGCCGATAACTAGAACTACCTCAACATACTTACATTAGTCAAGAAAAGCAAAAAAATCGCGAAGCAAAAAGCGCATATTCTGTCAAATGAATTGCGATGAATTGATTTGACATAGAAAATCCTTACGCACCAATGACAGCTCTTCGACGCTCTGTTTCGGCTTCCTTCTCTACAACACGCTGGCGCTGCTCGGCGATCAGTAGCTTCGTCTTCTCAGCCTCCATGGACTCGTAGTTGCGTCGGATGTTCTCGGGGATCTTGGGTTTGGTTACACGCACCGCCTGAATGAAGAGGCCAGGCGCCATCACGTTGAGATCCTCCTGAAGTGCTTTCTTTAGGTTTTCGTCAATCTGGTCTATGCGGATTAAAGAGGAAATGGGGAAATATAGAGGAGGTAGTTTACACCACTATCAACGGAAGTACTTGCCTTCGATTCGGAAATTCACAATTTAGTGGCCTGATCGGCAGTGAAACCGGTGCGACTCCGAAAGAAAGCCTGCTTAACTAGTAATTGTGGCTTTTAGTGAATTGACGCGCGAGGCGATGCGAAGTCTATAAGAGTCCCGTTTTCAATCCGTTGTTAGGCCATATCTCGAGTGAAGAGAACATCCCTTCTAATTTCAGAATTAATGATAAGGAAGTGATGCGTTTGACAGCCTCCTACTCTATTTTTTTACCCGAGCGTTATCTAAGAGTGCAAAAATATCTCAGCCTTCTAGTCAGACACTGAGCAAGGGCCTCAAATTGCACATTTATTCATTGTTAACATTGCAATGGGTACTTATATAAGCATCTAATCTATCAAGCTGAGACCTGAGCACAATCAGTCCAAGACTCCAATGATGTTGTTTGAGTTCCCAACCCTCCAACGCTTTAATTTTATCATACCAAGACGACGGCGTCCATCAAACCATTGAAAGTGAATAAATGAACTTCCTCACGTCAACCACAACAGCTTTCGTAACCCGAAAAATAGATGCAAATGTACAAGTTCATTGAAACCAGTGGGAGAAAAATAAGCTTATTATCTAATATTAATTTTGACAAACGGCGAATAAATCGATCCACCTAAATATTGCTCCACAAGATGTGGAGACAACATAACCTTTTGAACCATTCTTATCGGTCAAATATGTCAAAAAATAGGTGTTCAGTTGATAGTGTGTCCTTGCCAGATTTCAAATAATTCACTTGTAAGATAAGATTCCGCAAGCTATCACCATTTTCGTAAAAATAAATGCAATTGCCAGATTTCGCAAAATCAAACTATGTATAGTAATGTTATGGATTATTATGAATAACAACTCATAAGTACTCCCATGAGAGGGCTACTAAGCTAGATAAAACGGCAATGCTATACAATTCTACTGTTCTTTTTCAAAAATTATGCGAATTCGCATCACAGCAACTCACCAAAGAGGTCGATATACACCTCCTGAAGGGTGTGACTGCTGCAAAACTGGTTCAGCTCGTGATGAACCTTGTTGTAGATTAGAGTTTTATCATATTCAGCACTGTAGTTCTTCACTATTTCGTAGGCTTTAAAATGCAATTCGGTAGTCAAAAAACATCAGACCATGGTATGTTAGACAACAATTAGGAATTTTTAACCAGCGTACCGCTTTCCGCTGAAAGCAAATTAACCACCTCAATTCTGTCAAAGTAGATTACAACACCACCACTTAAACCAGGGCAAGAGTTATGAAAGCAAAAACAAACCTCGTTCCACAGGGTACGTTTTTGACCTCATCAGTTTGAAGAGTGGTCTAAATAAAATGCGTCAAAATAAAACAATGCCATTGCGGAGTTCCAATGGAAGTTTCAACCACTTTTGCTAACAGCGGCCAGTAAAGTCACTAATGAACTGATATGGTATACCAGAAGATCGATCAATGAACCAAGAGATACAAAAACAAAGTAGAAGTACAGCAAGTAAATAAATTACAAATCATCAAAAGTATTTCCCAAGAGATGCGTACTTCAACAACAGTAAGTGGTGACGAATAGAATATAGGTATAATAAAGCCATAAACTATACCTGAACAGCCTTAAAGGTGGTAATGAGTGGAATCATGAGATGAAAGCCAGGTGGACTTGTCTCTTTTAACAGGGCGCCGCCACGATAATAGACACCAACGTGCCCTTCTTCAATTTTGTGGATTGAGGCAGAAAGTATAAGCACCCAAGTTATCAATGCGAGCGTAAGATACGAAAAGGCCACATGAGGATTTGACATCGCAACTAAATAAATGATGCAAAATATTAGCAAAATAACATTTTACCGCATTTTTCTCGAAGCAGATGACAGAAACACTTAAAAAATAGTTGCTTTAGTGGTAATATTATTATTACGAGGTACGAACTTGAAGTGATGAATACTCACATCATGAACACGGGCTGCCGGCCGAACACAGTTTTGCTTAGTGCACGGGCAACGAGGCGATTTAAAACTATAGGTTATTATTTATTATTAACATCTTTTATTATTTGTTTGATCATTTGCATATATATTACTACTTAAAATACGGCAGCACAGCCTGCAACGAACACGTAGTAGGTCTTGAAAACTCGTGGCAACTATGTGGTTTGTTAAAAAACCCTTCGATAGTTTTTGTAGGTGGAAGGCAGTTGGATATTCAGCACTGATAACACTTTATTCTGTTTTTACTATTTTCACTATAAGGCTTCAAAAGAAGTACTTACTTATGAAAGCCTAAGCACCCCTACTATTTTAAATGCCTTTCACGGTTTTAATGAATCACACTTTTCGTAATATCGTCCTTCAGGAAAACAGTATGCCTAATACTGGCGAACATCAATTCTGCCAAAATAAAATTTCATGAGATAGAGTAAATTAATAACTACAAAATGCAGCTTTTCAAGTCTTTAATTAGGACAAAAGAGGTCTTAATACCAGAGCATAATAATGCCTTGAAGAAGAACAGAAGGGTGAAGGGGCCTCTGGCGTGATCTAGAGCCCACGCCACCCGGCAGAAGTACAAAGGACGAAATATAGGCGCCCGTTAGGCCAAAATAAAGGGTTCAGTGCACCCCCTTCCCCTTTTGAACAACGCTAGTTTCCAATATCGGTAATAACAAGGTAATAAGTGCCGTGAAGAACCATCTACGGTCCAACCGCGCCAGCCACCGTATTTGCTTCCAAGTGTGAGGATACTCGACCGCAATGCCACTGATACCTCTTGGCAATTCAACTGGATTTGGAGTTACATTCCTTTTGGTATCGTGTTGGGGAAGGGGGGATGTCCAGTCCATTGCGTTTGTCCGTCTCCAGTTGTGAGGACACTGGCCTCAAAGCAGTCATTCAATAAGGGATGGGTTTTTTTGTATTTTCATGAAGGGAAGCCTTTGCATCAATTCCCCCTCGTCAGTACGTTCTCAATTCAGCGCTGCTCAGCCATGCCATATCTCTCTGTGTCCCATTCAGCTAGTAATGAGATGGAGAAGGTATCGCTTGTTCACCTTATTGACACCTTCACGCAAGTACCGTATACAGCTCCGTAACGAACTTCCCAGGACAGCTCAAGGCTAGTGTTGCTTCACTTGTTAACATTATTCCTGCAGAGTAAGGGACTAGGGAAGATACCAAATGTAGACATCATTTCCAACCCTTCCATTGGGTTTCGCTACAGACTCTCCCATCTGCAGAACATACACTTCTTCCCTCATAATAATGTATGGCCTTTGGTAATAGAAATCGGGTTCAGTTTCGGCTGCCACCGATATAGCTTCCCAATCCGTCCTGGAGACGAAATAAGCCATAATACTACGACAGAAAGTGTGCTACCACCGTACAGAAGGGCTGAAGGGACTATCGGCATGGGTCAGAGGCTATGCCGATCAGCGGAAGTACAAAGACCACGACGTAAGTGCCCACGGAACCGAAACACACTCAAACAACTCAGTGAAGCATTACACCAAACACTAAGGCTCTTGCAGACCTTTTGAAGTTGTGATCCTGACGCCATATTCACCGAAATCGCACTTTACAACTTATTTCTCATAGGTGAGGTTCCACAGCGCTCCCACCACTTAACTAGATCGCAGATGTAAGACTATGCTGTAGCGCTCTAAGTGTTTGTTGAGGTTATAATGATCAAAAGTAGTACGAAGAACAAATACTAATAAACTACAGAAAAACTGGAGGGTGACTAGCACAGTCCAAAGGTCGTCCCTCAAAGCGGAATACAACCAGTGCAGACTGAAGCAACTGCGAAACCACAGACAAAATACCCAAACTCTTCAACACATCCATGGACAGGCAGCTACCTTCATTGGCCAAGTCATCGTACAACTGACATACAACGACCCATCGCCTTGTTCAAGCTATCCACCTGACGAGAAAAAAGACCGGGAGCAGAGGCGTCTACTGCGACACAGACACAAAACAACGCACTGCTAACACCATCTATTCACACCCCAGAAAAGGATTAAAAGCACTAGCAGAGAGGGTGAAAGGAGTGGCAGATGAAAGAGCACCCAGATTGTTTCAAAACAAGAGAGTTTAAAAGTGCTGCGTCATTTCTTGTGTTGACGCGGAGACTCCTCCAGAGACGTAGAGAGACATTCAAACATTTCAGGAAGGGCTGCGTAGTCGCCTCTTAGACGAGACGACGATAAAGGCAATGCGGGAGTCTCACGTGATGTAGTGCCCACCTTCGCTTTGATCACATTAGCAAGTGCTACTGGAGCAACCATACCGGCGTCCTTGAATTAGACAATTGTTCAAGAGCAAGTGACAGTGAAGTAACAACTCAGGTAAACATGCATCAACTCTTAAATAGAATTACAAAACTGATAACGAAAGACAAAACCGAAGTCTAAGAAGGGTTTTGAAAGTGTTAAGAAAAATATCTCAACATGGAAAATCCCTACCAAGTAGATTTTTTTCAACTTCCCAACGGCCCATATGATGAGCTGATGGTTCTCGCGTTTGCTGTCGAAACTACCACCACCGCTACCACCCCCTCCAACACGAGCGACCGCATTTGGCGGCGGTAGGCTGTACTGATGCGATACGGCAGCGTTGCTGCTCTCCTCAAGCAAGGCAGCTAGAGTCTTTTCCGTCAACTTGCCAGAGAGGCTTGAGGCGGCCTTGAAAGGACAAAAAGTTGAAGTTACCTACACAAGTACAGGGAACTATATGATTGCCCTAAAAGCCGGAATGATAGAAAAGGGTGGGATGGACGACAAAAATCGTAAAACCCAGTGAGTGGCATTTAATCTGTACACTTGCATTCATCTAATCCAGAACAAAGGTGACGTCTAGACTAGCAAAGGGCCACGAAAAAATTTTCCCTAGGGTTTTCGCGCTTTCAAAAGTTGGACGGGAGGAATGCGAACGAATTTCCCTAGCTACCATCAGTACCGGGGATGAGTAAGAGCAAAACCACAACCGTAATATCCCAAGTGAATCAAAAACAGTGAAAAACACAACCCAACATCGCTCGTAAAACGTCGAACCATACAGCCATGGAAAATCCGTAATTTAAGTAGGAGAAAGGAGAGCCTGAGAGGGTTATTTTCTTATTGCAGTGAATTGAGATACAGTTTAGCAGGGGAATGCAAAAAAGGAACACTTAGTCTATCATCAAAAAGTCGGATTTATAACCCTAACTGAGAAGAGGTCAAGAGGGCCAATATCGACACGTCAGATATGACAAAGAAGGCGTTAGGAAACAGAAAATCGGTTGATACGTGAATTTGGAAGTCTCCTAAATCCGCCTTCGCTTCGATTCATGAATTACGAAGCAAACATAATCCCCACCACGATATATGATCGAGCCAAACTTTCAATGGATTAGTTTTCAAAGCCGCAAAACAAACCAAACAATGGGGCAAATTTATATTCGTGTTATGCATTTTAAGAGTTAATGGTAACAATGCTCAGAGATGCAATTCAATGACTTCGATTAGGAGTAGACAAGGAAGAATAGAAGGGAGGGGGACCAAGATCTAATCAACAATTGAAGTTTTACTCTGTCAGAAAAATAGTGGTATCAAAAGCGAAGTACGTCAGGTCAATAATAAAAACTGCCAGTAACAAAACATTTCCATCTGCGTGAAAAACTAGCCAACTAATCAATGATGGATTGCTCCAATTCAATCGGATAGAGCTCACCAGAATCAAACCGTAGAGAGCTCGGATGTTCAATGGATTAATTCGGCAGGCTTGAGCGAAGTAGGCTCGTGCTAATTCCAGATTTTCAACGCCCCCTTCGGAGTACTTAATCTTGGATTGGAAGAAAAATACCAAATGGGGAGGAAGAATGCACATATAGTTCACATAATTATCCCTAAAAATGATCTATTATAAGGGACAGGTCCCTCCGAAATGGTTTCAGTCTAGCTGAACCCACAGTCACACAATCATCATTCACTAAAGAGTAACGTACCTCAGCAAGGCGTTCGTGAAGCAGGTGATTGTGGGGATTAGCAAGAATCACCTCTTCCATACAAAATGCAGCGTGCTTATAGTCCCCCTGGGCTAGGTACAAATCACTCAGCTCACCCCACGCCTCCACATCAGCCATGAATCTAAAATATCGGACCAAAGCAGTGTGAAGTGATGTCGATGATACTACATGAAGATTTAACAAAACATGGATATTAAATGACCTTATTAGTGGTGCAAAACTCATGCGCTATTAGTAAGAACGCACATCTTGAGATATTTGTTTAACTCATCAATTGCGTTGTTAATACAACCTTGAGCCTTGAAAATCGTGATCAGACGCTTGCGAGCAATCTAAAATTGCAAAAAAGTCTGAACGGTCATTCAGCCCCCTAAGATAGGCTAAATCAACTGATCCGTAAGCAGCTAAGAGGTCATATTACAAAAACTAAATAAAGACCTACAACATCCGTTGTTTCTTTGTCGAGGATTTGTTTGTAGATATTGCGGGCGTCATCGATTCTAAAATTGGTGTAACAGGGATGGAAGCCGTTGAAGGAGCAAATATAGTTGTTGACTTACTTATTCGAAGCCTCTAAGTACATTCCGTAGAGACGTTTAACGCGGGAACTCTCTGGAAAACGCTTTCGTAGGTGATTCAGACAAACCTGCACAACAATGCACGAAAAAATAAACCGAAATATCAAGATAATAAATAATGGTCAATGGAATACTTTTACCCAAGGTTAGCCTTTGGAAACAAATTTTATTGTAATTACTGAAAAAAATCACCTGTGCAAGATCCAAATTGCCGACGTCTAAAGCGGCGATTAGGACTTGTTCCAAAATTACCCATTCTAAAATGAACAACCGATAAATAGTTTCAGAAGAACGAAGCCCCAATGAGAAGCATTCTAAACCAACTTTCGTGACCAAGTCTGTAGATTTTTGGTTCGACATCAGAAACCCATAGACGCACAACTGTCGCACTTTTACGTAGGTTGTTCTCACGAATCTCGCGGAGTTCCAAAAGAGCCTCTAAATGCACAAGGAAAGCTCTTGGCAAACAAATGTTTAGGTTGATTGTACAAGAGCGGTTATTGAGGGAAAGAAGTTGGGATGTAAAGTGTTCAGTGCCCTGACCACTAAGCAAAGCAACGAACCAGTCTGGTGAACTTAACTAAACTCTAAGCTGTTAAGCTAAAGGCAGAAAAGCGCCGAAAAGTGGATTCATTTTTGCCCTAAAGCAATTACAAATGTGTATTAGCACAAAAAAACATACCGCATGTTTACATTCATGTAAAGGTAGTAAATAGGTGTCTCCATAGACTATTATGCACCAACTTTAGGGTTAAACGAAAAAAAGAAAACACACATTTTTATACAATTCCCCATAGTACTCACCATTCATCGTAAGCACATGCGACAGGCAAACGACGGAGTTCAGACCAATGAAAAACCGAGCAGCAAAGAGCACTAAATTCTTACAATAGTTACCAAAATATTCATGATTAGAATTATTCAATAACTTACATGACTTTTGCAAGAAAATACGATAACAATTCTTGCTGATTGTGTCTAGGACATTTTGACATCGAGCCTGTATAAGCTAAGGCCTACTTTTGGCTGCCATAAGCCGACTGTGGAGTTGTGGAATTTAGCCTACGCGCGCTGACCTGAAGGCCTCCGTGATGTCTCGTCAGCAGGCGAAGGCTCCTGAGCCAGTTCGGATGGTATGAGAGCTACTTTGCTACCAATGCTTGTGCTTATCAAATTTGGTGAATCTCCATAAGACTCGTTTTATGCATCATTATTTAATCTTGCTGAGTGCTAGTTTAAAGTGTCGCAATCCGTTTCTTTTTTAGAACACCGAGCTATTTACCCTCACGTATGGCTCTCTGGTAGCTCAAATAGTTAAGGATTTCGAATCGGATGATGCGATAAATGAACAGCTGGATAATATGTTGGTTTTTCTCTCATCCTCTTTATTTCCAGTGGCTTCAATATTGGTCAGAAGTTGGCCGAAGACTTTGTCGCCAAGGGCAACCCGGGTAGATGCGCAGATTTCAGAGAAACTGCCAACCAACTAGTAAACGGGTTTAAGCACTTCCTTGGAATTTCTCCCTCTGTGAGCAAATTTAGCTCCGCTGGAGACGAATTTTCGCTCCTTCTGGATTCGAATCCTCTCACGGAGTTTGTCGATCTCCCTTCTGAACACCCAAAGCTTCTCTACTGTAACGTTCTTGCTGGTGCAATTCGCGGTGCTTTGCACAGCGTATGTTTGTTCGTTTCAACTTCCTTCTAGTTACTCTCTTGTTCAGTGTTCAATTTTTTTTAAAGATGCAATTAGAGGTTGATGCAAGAATTGTTCTCGATCAACTTCGTGGCGACAAACACACCGAAATCCGTGTTAAATTTATTCGTCGAATTAAGGAGGTCTTTGCGGGAGAAGACTAACTCCTTACCCTGCTTCTTCTTCCCATTTTTCCTATCCTTCACTTATCCTCTCAATAAATCGCTCTGTTCCACTTTGTTCCCTTGTTACTTCTCAGGTGTGGTAACCCGACTTGGAATACCTGTGGTATGGGCT